ATCAAATTCCCCAAGGACAGCTCAACTACACATATACATACTATTCTTGACAAATGTGCATACAGTCCATTCTTAATCTCCACAGAAAAAATTATTTACAACCTATCTAGAGGGTCTACTTGAACACTTTTCTTCACTCCCAACAGTTTATTCTATGCTTCACTTCAGTGACTTTTCAGAGACTGAAGGTTTTAAGACTATGACTCCCCAGGTGGTGTCCTCGTTCTATAACCACTTTTCACCTTTTTTCACTTTTTGCCCATCATCATCCTATCTCTGCAGCTGCATCTGGTTTAGATGGGTGTAACTCTGTCCTTGTGATTTTTTTACGTTCTCTATTCTTTGTAGTGTTGAAATTATCCAGCTGGGGTTAGCCCAGGGCTAATACAGTACTTCAGCTGAAGCCTTACTAACAGAAAGGGTCAAAGCTCAAAGGCAGGCTTAATGGCACTTCAGTCACTATGCCCTTCCAGTTTTATAGTGATCCACTGAAACAATGCAGCATTTGGGTTTTTTTACAAGGAGTTACGCAATTAACTAAGTACTGTGTAACTGATGTTTTCAAAGTGTGCTTATGAAAATACCGTGGGGGTTCTTGCTGCAAATCAAAGTCAGTATGTATGATAGCTGCCAATTCTTACTTCCCTGATCCATCAAAGCAAAAAAATTAGATTGACTGACTTCTTGGCTAGCTATTAATCATCTTCATCTTCTAGACATTAACAACTTTATCTATTTCAGTAGTTTCCAGCAATTTACATCAAACTAGTTGATGTCAACAATAATTTCTCAGCTCTTTCTCATGCCGCTTGTCCCACTTTATGCACAGATACTGTGCTTGTCCATTTCTGATCGTAGGAAATTTCTGCCCTTCACATTCTTCAAGGTAAGCACTAACATACCAGAGATTGATTGAGTCTCTTCTCATTGTAGATAAGTGAGATGAAGTAATAATAAAATGAGACAAAATACCTTTTTTGAATTGTGTAAGTGTAAGGAAATGAAGGAAATGGAAGTTCCTGTGTAGGGGTGGGCACAAGGGGAGGAGAAGGAGAGATCCAGATCAAATTGCTAGAGGGCTTCTATGAAAAATTAAGTATTAGCCTGAAAAAAAGAATATTGTGAGGCCATGCCAACACATTAATTTCTTTCTATTTATAAAGTGTCCTACATGTGCAGATCAAAGTATTTTCACATTTATTATTGTGTCCTTATAGTCAGAAACTAGATGAGTAACCACCACAGAAGCACAAATTATAGTAGTAATTTGTACCTGCTACAAAATGAGTGTTTTATTTTATGAGGATGGAGTTTCTTTTTGTGCAGGGAGAGTTAGCACCTGAGATCCTCTCCTCAGAGCTACTCAGCATCCAGTGGTTTGTCAAGTTAATAGCAGCTTACATTACATTTGCAGCATTAATACCATTATTATTATTCACAGAGACTTTAAGGAGGGGCTGGCACAAAGGCATTACTGTGGTGATCCCCAGAAAAGGACTGATGAGGTGAGTGAAACGTTTTGGGTTTTCCTGCAGACTTACAAGTGCACTCATAGGAGAGAACCCTATGACTTTTATTATGAATATATAGTTTTATTACATGAATACTCATCTATGGATCATACCGGGAAAATATATTAATTCGTACTGACTCAAAAAGTATTCCTTCCTGAGTGACACAGCACTGTATGTGAAATTCTGGATTCCAGGTATGCAATTAAATGCTCTACTTTTCTAAGTATCTCTGTCAACCGTCTGGATAAATAGCCTGAATTGCATAAGTGCAATGTATTAAAGCCCATGAGCTAATATATGGTCACTAGGAAGTTTACATGCCCACTGGTATGACTTATATGCCTCACCCACCTAATGTGAATTATAATTGGTTTGAACATGAGGAGAGGCCTGAAGTTTTCTCTATAAATGCTGCCACACAACCAGAGATTGAAGTCTTATCATATAGGCCTACAATTGCTCACAGAAACACTAAGTCCAAGGCACAGGGGAGCAAGGAAGCATGACTGGTAAGTAAAAAAAATAAAAATAAAAATGGAAGAAAGCCTTTTTTGTGCATAAGGAACGGGCAACTGGTAATGTAATGTCAGCTTTCTCTTTGGGGTTGTGTTTTGTAAAGGGCTCTGAATTGTTGGAGTACACTACATTTCGAGATTATGAATAGGTTGTTTCAGTATTTTTCTTTCCTGCATTTTCCAAAAGACACAAACAAGGAAAAGAAGATAATCCATCCACTATCATGCTGGAGTTAAACATTATAAAACCACAAATAGAGCAAAAGAAGTTATGGCAAACTGCAGACTGGTTTTTAGCATGAAACTTAATGTAACAGAGAGTAGTTCAGGTATGAATGAATCTTTTGTTTAATGAGAATATATGTGCCAAGAATAAGCTATAGGCTAGATTCCTTCCTGCAGATTCAGAGTCAGCAAACTGCAATGCCATTTTAAATACCTGTTAAAGTCATTGTGAAAGACAAAAGAACTTTAAAATACAGACAAAGCAAGCAGATGTCCAGCAGTAAGGTATTAGAAGGAAAGATATTAAGTCAATCCACTTCAGCAAGGTTGGCTGTGGTTTTGCTTAGGCCTGACTAGCTAGGACCTCTGTAAAAATGTATGGTGAGGCCTGAGTGCAGATGACACCAGTTTATCCCTTCTGTGCATAGAGTTCGTGCTGTGATGGCTTTATGTGACAGGTTTGAAAAGCTCAGGAAATTAATAAAAACCAACCATCTACAGAGCCTAGGCTTGAGTGCAGAAAGGACAGGCACTGTTTTCCTCCCATGGTTGAAATAGGCACAGTTACCCCATTCTCACAGTTTTAGGAGAATTGATTGCACAAACTCTTAGGACACAAGTGTTCATCCATCTAACATAATATAAAATAATTTGTGTTATTCATCTGATCTTGTTGTGCTAGCATCGCTCAACAGTGTCTGCTGTTTGCTTGGCCTGATAGTGTGTAATTAATGACTGCTTCAATGCATCTGCCAAGTGTAATGCCATCTAAGTGTTCACCTGTTTAAAAGTGGAACATAGACTGGGAGGGAATGAGGTGCATACAATGGTCACAAGGCTATTCATTCCCTCATAAATGTCCTCCACTGTGCAGAGCGTAAATAAATGGCAAAACACAATTTGACAAGTCAAGCTGAAAGACTGGACTGAGTAGAAAAGTAATTTTTTTGGTTTTTTAACAAAAGAACTATACGGTAAAGTGGACACTAAAAACCATCTACAGCAGTGGCAAAAAACCCACAAACCAGTTGTTTCTGCATTGTAACACATCCTCTTAAGCAATGATTTGCCAATAATTTAGCCAAGACATTTTAGCAAGGTGATTCCTAAAAACTTCCTCTTTAAGTGTCAAATACCAGTCTCTTCTTAACCACAATTTTCTCATTGCACAAAATGCAAGAAGCAATAGCAGCATTTACTGAACAAACAGGTATTTGCTGATGATGCTCACCACTTGCTTGTGACATACCCACAGCCTAAGAAATATCCAAGCCCAAGTTCAGTTAGACATGTCAAAAATGCCAGGAATGCTCCTCACAGTGCTACACACAATTGTGATGTGAAAAACTGTAAAGGTCTGTGTGCAGGTGTGTGTGCACATCATTTTTCACTCTCCCTCTCTCCCCCTCCTTCCACACCCTCCGACACACACATCCTGTAAATATACACACTTTTTTCCTCTAAACTTTTAATGCATCTGTGGGCCAATCTCTAATGGATCTACTTCAACAGAATCTAGAAGATAGTGCATAAAGAAAAGCATATAAATGCATAAAAGCATCTATAAAGAATCTATAAATTCCATTGTGTTATTTTTTAAGGGTTTTGATAGTCTGCAGGATGCTACCGCTACTTAGGATTCAGCAATTTTATCTCAGCTTTTGTCTGTCACTTTTAAGCTTCATTGTCATTATAACTAAGACATGAGTCACACCTGCAAGCATCTTGGTTTTGTATTAGAATTAAGAGTGCTTGACTGCAGAATGGGACAGCGTGTCATATTCTTAGAAGAAATCAGCAGAGTGACATAGTGATGGGAGCCTGCAAAGAGGTATTCTTTGCTGATGAGTGTGCCACAGTAGCTGGAAGTTAGAATTTCCAAATAATGTCTTTACTCCATTCCGACTGATGAGACGTGTGCATAAGCGGGAGAAGTAGGGAAATACATTTAAATGTAATAGGCTATAAATAACAGGTTGTGTGTGACTATGAGGGAGCTATCCAGGGAACCTAGCATAGATCCATCCCAGTCTGTACACTGTCAGTTCGGCTTATTCCTGTGTGAAGTTCACTTAATAGTACATGTCACTACTGTGTCACTGACAGTCTCCCTTCTGGAACAAGCCATCTTATCTGGAATGAATCAAGATCCAAATGAAAGAAATGAGCCCAGCTAACAGCGTATCCTACTTTACATAGACAATATGGAAACTGACCATGTCAAGTTTGGCTGCCTTCAAAGTCTGTTGGAGAACTTTGGGGAGGCTTCGGACTACAGCAGGCTGCAGGCTTCAAAGTTCAAAATGCCCCTGCTATTTGGGGCATTGCAAACGGAAGACGAAGGCAGAAAGTAAGACGTCTTGGACAACATAATAGGGTCCAGAAGAGAGCCAAATGCTTTTTCATATGGACTTGAACAATCTACATTGGAGTACTAGTCCCGAAGGCTGCTGATGCGAGTCAGTCACACCACTGTTCTAGGGGCCCAGGTTTCTCCCTAGTGTGGTTCACAAATGCAGTATAACTGTAAAAAAACAATTCCTGTATCTGGGATGGCAGGAGTGGGCTTTGTTGACAAAATTTCTTGCTTAATTATCTAACAAGGGAATGTGGGGGGAGACAGAATAGCCCAAACTCCTCAGGGTACTGAAGCAGTCCTTAGTGAGTCATGGGCATACGGTTGTAGCATGGTGCTTCATGGGTATGCAAGAAAGAGCTGTGCTCAGAAAGAATAAAGGAGCAAGTGGGCTATTCTAGGGATTTATTTCTTATGCCGAAACAAAGGCACAATTAATAGTATGTAACATTTAATAGAATTCAAGTGTTCCTGTGTATTCATACAGAGTTGGTGGTGAAGAGAACAGCAATACAAAAAAAGGAGAGAATTGTGGGAAATCAGTCTACTGCAAAAGATGTCCTTCACTAGTCAGTTCTGAACTCTTCTACTATATGTTTCTTTAACACAATCACTGCAATGAGGAAAGAAATGTGGGTATCTTTGGAAAAGGATGTTGGGTGTTATATGACAGAAACAGTTTGCAAATATGATCCTGATATAGTTTATTCTGGGCATGTGAAACAAAATCCTAAAATGTCTTAGAGCTTTTGCTTTTTGAGGTCCAAAAGAATCTTCTCTTGCTGTCCACCAGTTTCAAGCACCTAGCTGTGCAATCGTTACATTTACAGCCACCATGCAAGCTCTGCAAATACCACTTGTCTTACAGGAAACAATCTGGGTCAGATGCATTTTGTTTGACTAGTATTCTGACTAGTGTTAATATTTCTCATATTTCACATTAATTCAACCCTCATTCGCAAGCTTTGCCCATAATCTTTAATCCCACAGTCCGTTATGTATCATTCATCTGTTTCACAAACAAAGCACAGGAGAGATCTGAAAGGCAACTTAGCCAGAGCTGGTGATAAGCACCAGAAGCTGAAGTAACAGACACAACTTATTCTCCTTGACATATTATCTTCCAGAATAAATGGACTGCATCTGGTTTTTAGAACATACTGTTTATAACTGTACTATCATACCATCAAATACCAAAACCAATTATGCCATTGACTGATAGAGGACAGTGATATCCAGCACACTACTGCCATCACACAAAAAAGGCAAAATATGTGACCAAATCAGCATCAGCAGCTATATGGTGAATAACTGCTGACTTCTCTTTTCTTTCCTTTTTTTTCTTTCTTTCAACAGTAACTAATCTTGACACAAAGAGAAACAGTTTCTATGTATCCAAGGATAGGCTGAAATATTAAATAAAATCTATTCTAAAAATTGTTAGTGTGTCATTTAAGAGAATTTAAAAGTATGGGTAGGAGAGTGTAGCTTAACATCTTTTAATCTCTGAAGTTCGGACTTAACATTTTAAAATTAAATTCTAAGAAATTTAAATTTTAGAATTAAAGTATTACAATTTTTAAATCACAGTTGGGCTTTGTGTATGATAAAAATATAGTCCCTCTTAAGACTAAATATTATTAATAAACAGAAATTCAAAGCAGTAGTCTGAATCATACCCAGTTAAAAAATGTTTGCTCTAATAACACTCTTTTATGCAAAATATGATTAAAATATGTCTGTATATGAAATGGGCTGACCAAGTTCCAATTCTAGAGTTTCCAAACATAATCCAAACCTGAAAACGGAACAATGTGGGCTGCTGAATACTGAGCACAGCTAATTGAAACTCTGAATTTGGGAAGGCACATAGCTGTGAGCAGTCCAGCATAATGAGTATCACTCAGAGGCATCCTTAAGGCTGTGCACTGAGTACGAGAAATTTTACAGGTTGTTTCATAAAAGTATCAGAATTAGTCTCCCTCTTAACAGAAAGTGGAGCCACCTGCAAAGCATAAGCAAAAATCACTCTCCTTGAAATTAAGGAGAAGATTTTTGTACACAAATTGGCATTGCCAGTTGCATGTTCTGAGATATCCTATGAAAAAAAAAATAGTAGTATACCAGCTGAAAACAATGATAGCTATTTTATTACAAGTCACAAATGAACTTACCTATCATCTCTGTAGTGTGTCATGCAAATATGACATGGAGTGCTTGTCTGTTTGACATTGTTAAAGAGTAATTATGTGATAAGTGAAAAATTGGTTCTTTAGCCTGATTAAATTTGGGGCAGAGGCAACAGCTTGCTCATTGCTTTGTGATTATTACAATGCAGCAGGAAAAAAAATAATCAGCGTGTGGAAAACAATGGATTCAGTGAATTAATTTAAAGAAGTCACTGTAAATGTTGCTCATGAAGTATTACAAGTTAAAAACAATGTGGTGCAAGAAGTAATTATGCTGTTCCTGTAAATTTATAATTGTAACAGAAAGAAAAGCAGCTAAATGCCAATATTCTTTTAAGTCTGAATACATTAAGAAACTCTTGAATGGCCAGACTGTTAGGAATAAATGTTGTCCAAGCTTCAGTTGTTAAATTGCAAGGAAATGAGATCAGGATGTGGGGACTAAGAGAGTGAAAAAATGAATGAAAAATGAATCCTCAAGCCTTGTTGGTAAGATAAAGGCTGGGGAGAAAAGAAGGTTATTCAAGCTCCACCCCACAGGAAATATTGCAAACAGGCACCTTTACACCTAGACTTTTAAACAAGTGAAAGGCACCGGCCATTCTGTGAGACAACAGAAGTAAAGGAGGCCATTCAGAGGAAAGCTTCAGAGCTGCTTATACAGGACATATTGATCAGATATGGGCCAAGGTGAGCAAGGAGGAAGCCCCTTCTGTGGTGCTGCTTGTTATTTTCTTACATCCACACCTCATACTCAGCTCTGTAATGGACACTGAAAGATCACAACTTCTCTAAGGAGGGTTGATCCAATGTAGGGAGGGGGTGGTGGGAAAGAAGGAAGAGAAAAATTCCTCCATCAAGAGTTCAGAGAAGGATTTTTCACAGGCATTGCATTTTTTCCCAATTGCATGGGGAAAGCAAGATTATCAGAATGAGATTCTGGAGAGCAAGCGTATTATCTGATGGAAAAATTCTGTACTTTACTTTGCAAATAGGAAAGAAGGGAAAGTCTGTAGATATTTGAAGTTGCCAGGCAAATGAAAATGAGAGACTGTCAAATGTGACACAAGAGAAAAACAAAGCAGAACTTGAAGGTGTTGTTGCAAAGGCTGAGGGAGGCTACAATACGAAGAGAAGGTTGAAACCTGAAGTTAAAGCAGAGAGGATACAAAAATTTAGAGGATCTTTTTCAGGGGTCTGTTTGTTGCAATAGGCTTTTTTTTTATTTATTTACATGCAAATATTTGTAAGCATGTAAATTGACAAGTCTAATAATTATTATAAATGGTCCCAAGTTGCTTTTCCAACCTTGCCAGATAACTCCTGCCTTTCTAAAGAAACATCTTCCCTATCTCTCAGCTTGTTCTAGAATAGATGTGATTAACTGCTAAGGTTCTAAAGATGTGGGGTTTTTTTAAAATAGGTATGTTCCTGAAAAACTGAAGTATGTTCTGCTCACCCTGCTGCTGTAAAAAAAGATGTTCCCCACATCTGAACTGTGACTTCATTGCTGTAGTTATTTCAAGACTTACCTAAACTTGATAAACTTAAGCTCATGTCTTTAAAATCTATTTAAAAATATCTTTACACTAATAAATCTGGTTGAACATGGGATAATGATTTTTTACTGAATAATGGCACAGGATAATTGTGTTCCCCTACTAACGACCACACTCTTACTCTTGCCTAGTCTTGCGTTTTGGGGCTGGGGGGGAAGGATGGAGAAAAATAAAAATATTTTTGAAAAGCACATAGTGCCCTTAGGAAAAAAAAATTAAAAATCGCTTTTTCTTCTGTACTTCTGCACTTCATTTAAAACATTTGAGCTTCTACTAGAGAACTGTCATAGGCTCTAATGATGCCAGAGCCAAACCAATCTCAGATGCTTGTTCTCTGGCCTCTGACTGAAGCCACAGTTCACATACAAAAGCTTTCTGCAACATATTATTTCACATACATTATTTTAGTAGTGTTCTCTCCAATATTGCCATCTCTCCCACTGCCAAATAACAGACCAGCGTCCATCAATATATTCTTGTTGGGCGCTTCCCACAGATAGCAGCTGTCAGTTATATCAGAGGTACATGACACATAAATGGGGCTAAAAACGTCATGGTTTAAAACGTGTGTTTCTCAGCTCAATCAGGCGTCTTTATTTTTTATTCAGAAGCAGCAAGGCTATGCTTACATTAGTAAAGCACCATGATTGGAATTAGCTGAGTTCAGCCAGATTCTTTATCTAAGTAACTCACAAGTATTCAATTCTCCTAGGGTTCTCCACTCTTAGATGCCTTTCGGATTTTCCTTTAGTACCAGATACGCTATTCCTTCTATATTTAATTATGCAGATAATCTCTAACAGAACTACACAAGGTGGAGTCTCACTTGAAAAAATAACAATTAAAAATAACAAAATGCTATAAATAAGTTATTTCTATTCTTGGTGGAAGCCTCACATGGGTAGAAGTTACCTGTAGAAAGTAACATGCAATTCTTGAGAGTGTGTCTGTGCTCCTTCCCCCTTGGATGTCCCTCTTCAAGTTTTCTTGCTCTTCTCACTTTTTATAGCTGCAACGCAGCCAAGTACCAACTGGCACCTGAAAGAAAATGCAAGAGATCACCACACAAGTAAATTTTCTAGCGAAGAGTTAATTGTGAGGAGAGGACAGGCCTTCACTGTCACCTTCAATGGAACAGGACAGCCTGAACAAAATTTAACATTCATCGCAGAAACAGGTATGGCTTCCAACTTCTTTCACAGAAAGAGTAATGCTATCTTGTGACACTCTTTTGGCCTGATACGCAGTACAGGGCAGCAAGGTAATTCCTCAGAGCCAACATGCTGGTTCACACCATAATGGAAGTAAGCGTTTGAGGTGTTTGTTGTACTGCTCACATCTCAGCTAGCAGTGATAGCTTCCTTCAGTTTCCAATGTATGGCACAAATTCATCAGAGGGGAGGGTTACATCCCTTCTGAGTTTATTGACAACTAAATCAGTATTTCAGCAAGCTGGGGGAAAAAATATATGTTGTTTATTTTCCTCAAAAGGTCCAAAACCCTCAAAGCTGGCTAAGACCCAGGTCACATTTGGTATCTCCAGCACAATGAGCACAGAGAGCTGGAGTGCAATCCTGCAGTCTACCAGTTCCAGCTCTGTGAGCATCTCCATTTCCAGCCCACCTAATGCTGTCATTGGACGTTACAAACTGAGTGTTCAAACTACTTCAAGTGGCAGCTCCTCTCCAGCAATCCTTGGCACTTTTGTTTTGCTCTTTAACCCTTGGTCTTCAGGTAAGAACATGTTGGATTTCCCCAGAAAGAACTAAATTGCTTGTAGCTTCATTAATATTTGCAGCTTCTCCATTTGATCTATGCTTATTTAATATGGGGGCTGAAGATACACCACATAATGTATCAGTGAGAATAGGGCTTAACAGTTTGTTAGGACCTTCTGGTACATAAAACCGGCTCTATATCATGTGCTTACTAGAAAGCTTCTTGTCCTAAAAGATTAAGTTATGCTTTTGGCAGAGCTTTCCTACTTCTGCACAAGTACAGAAGAACGCGTCTGGTCTCTGCAGAACCAAGAGTCATATCTACCAGTTGCCATCTTCTCCCAGATTTGAGTGTCATACCTCTGTCTTCACTCAGACACTCCCCACCCACCCTGAGTTTCATTTGTAACATGATCCATTTGTAACAGCAAGAACAGCAAAGGGTGGATATCTGCAAGCGCTCTTACTGATGGAAAATGAGTGGGTTGCACATTGTAATGGAGACTGTGGTTGTAGACTGTTTTGGTTTTTCAGGTGATGATGTGTTCATGCCTAACAAGGCTGAATGTGAGGAATATGTGCTAGAAGAGTTTGGCATCATTTTTGCGGGCAATAAAAATCATATCAACAGCTTTGGATGGAACTTCGGCCAGGTAAATGCGGCACTGAAGCACTAGACAGTGTTCTGTGCTCTGGTTTGCACATGAACTGGGTGACAAGGGCTTGTTTGCTTTTTCCAGTTCATCACATACACCTCTGTAGAGGAGGACACTGTGGTATTGAAATCAGAACTTGTGCCAAGCCCTGTTATATTGATTAATATGAAGATTTGTAATTGACTAGTCAGTGACGTTACCTAGGACTCGGAGGAGCAGCCAGCAGAAACCTTAGTGTCTGCTGGGCAGTAAAGTACTGTAGCAATGCTAAGAGTCAAAGACCCAGCCTTAAGTCCACAGATTCCAATTTCTGAAAAGCTCTTTGAGGTCTAACCTTCACAGTTTGCTCAGGCTGCCTTTTTATATGGCAACTCCTGGCTGAGCTGCAGCATTTCTTTAAGCAAGTAAAAAAAAAAAATTAAATGCTCACATGGCTCTATTTATCCTGATTATTAGTAATTCCAGAACACTAACTTACTTCTCTATCTAACATAGTTTCAAGGAGATATTCTCAATATTTGCCTTTCCATGCTGGATCGAAGCTTAAACTATCGTCAGGATCCTGCCACAGATGTATCTCACCGAAATGACCCCAAATACCTGGGCCGTGTTCTCAGTGCAATGGTAAGCAACATGTTCAAAAAGTCCAAGCTACCAACTCACTGTTCTTTGTAGCAGAAAACTAAGTGAAAGTAAGTATATGTAAGTTCTCAGAAATTTAGGCCACTGACTGTATGCACCAAAAATGCGGGCCAAAGAAACATCTAGGTGGTCCTTTGATCTAAGCCTGCCAGATTTATGTCATCTGCAGTGTTTCTGACACTTACACTTTGATATCCAGTGGTCAAACTGAAATTATAAGACATGGGGTGGTATGTAAAAGGACGAGACCCTTGGAGGTCTTTAGTCCAACCTTCCATTTGAAGTGGAACTACAGTGGTGCTAGATCAGCTCAGCCACGGATTTCACAGCCTCTCTGGCTGCCTGGTCCAGAGCTGCACTACCCTCTTAGTGAGAAATTTTTCTTTTATGTCAAACATGATTTTCCCAACCTATAACTTCCTGCCACTGCCCCTTGTAATATAACCTGCCAGCACAGAGAAAAGTTGTAATCTGACAATTTAGTGTGCTCCATTCAAGTACTTGTAAGCTGCTATTCCATTCTCTTTATCCCCTTCTTAACCAGAATGAACTAGCTGAGTGCTCTCAATTTCTCCTTGTAGATTTTGTGCTCCAGGGCCCCTGACTCATGCCCTCCTTCTTCAGTGTCTCAATATCCCCTTGAACTGAGAGACCCTAAAGTGGATAGAGGATTCCTGGCACAGCCTTGCTAGGGATAATGAAAGGGGGCTACGGCTTCTGTCAGTCTCCTGCTCACACTTTTTCTAATGTAGCTGCATGATATGCTTTGATGATGCCATTCAACCAGTGGTGAAGTTGCCAGCCACCTCATGTCAGGAAGGTTCACTGAAAACTGGTGTTTGCCTTCTTGCCTGATGCTACTGTATATTTGAGTAGGAGAAACAGTGATTAAATGCTCTCCATTTCTTGAGAGGACACATACTTAATTTCCCTAAAAAGATAAGCTGCATGAAGCAATGGACTTTTGTCCACTAAAATGTCATTTGAGACTTTTCTCCTTCCTGCTCCCCAAATGCTATCACATTTATTGTAAACTCTTAATTATCTCATCGTAATTTTAGTGACTATTTTTATAGGTGAATGCCAATGATGACCAAGGGGTGCTGCTAGGAAACTGGAGTGGAAATTATGAGGGCGGAAAAAGTCCAAACAGCTGGACTGGAAGTGGTGAAATCCTGCAAAACTGGAAGAAATCAGGATTCAAACCTGTTAGATATGGACAATGTTGGGTTTTTGCAGCGGTATTGACTACAGGTATGTTTTATACCATGCACATAACTGACACTGAACAGATTCTATTAAAAGAAGCACTGATAATACTTCACGCATGAAAGCCTTTCAAGACATTAGTATGTCATATGAAACTTCATATTCCAGAAATACTGCTTTCTGACTGTCTTTCTATTCACTCTTTAGTGCTTAGATGTCTGGGGATTCCCACTCGTACAATTACAAACTTCAGTTCTGCCCATGATGCAGATGGAAATCTGCGTGTAGATGAGTTTTACGATGCTTCTGGAAATCAACTGGACCAGTCAGCTGACAGCATATGGTAAGGCTTTATGATATTTAATGGTAGGACCTCTCAATGCCTATACAGTCTTCAGGTGCAGAATACAGATTCTAATGACAAATGTTTTGTCACCTTCTTAAATGTTGCCTTAAAAACAACTACAAACACTGTGGATCAATTAAAAATAATGCAATATAATACTACAAAATAAGACAATATATGAAAAAATCTTGCAATACTGCAAAAGAATACAAATAATAATAACAAGTAATACAAAATATAATAATTTAATTATAATAAAATAATACAAAATAATTACCAATAATACAAAAAAAAATAACAAACCTTGGTGCTCTTTTTTTGGTTAAGCAGAATTGTGACTTGAGTTACAACAGCTAACTGAAGCCAGAGCAGGCAAAGTTAACAGTTACGATACCACAGATGACTGAAAATTTGTGATATTACACTGCAAATATCAAACAGTTGGACTTTACTTAGTTTGGAACTATTCTTCAAAACAAGTTCATGTTAAAACTGTAAAAGTTCAACAGAACCAGCTTCACTGACTTTTTTTTTTTCAGTGACATCATTAACAGTGAAAATAATATAATTAATGCCACTACTGAGCATCAATGAAATTCAAACAAGCTTGTACTCAGCAAAGAATGGGTGCAGTCCCAGTCCTTCATTTTTTGCCTTTACTCCTCTGCTTGTTCTGGACCCATTCTAAATATAAGTGCTAACTGCAGCACTGTGCTATAAGTAAACCAGCTAAAACTAAAGAAGTGCATGTGCTCAGAACTTTTAGAGAAAAACTGGCTCAAGACATTTTGTATAATTTTATAAATTTGCTTTCTGCCTTTGAACATTTATGTCTGTTCCACAATATTCAATTAATCCAGTTAAGATCAGAATGGAATCAGTCTCAGACAAGAACCTATGCAAAGTAAGGCATTTAATACATTTAACTGTCTGATTAACAGATGTGAACCATTCCAACAGCAATTTAGACATACATACTAGTAGCTTACTTTGTTCATTTTTGTACATAGGAATTTCCATGTCTGGAATGAAAGCTGGTTTTCCCGCCATGATTTGGGCCCCTCATACAGTGGATGGCAAGTTCTAGATGCAACTCCCCAAGAAGAAAGTGGAGGTACACAGATTTAATTTCAAGAATAATGGTGAAAAATTATAAAGTCACTCATCTTCAGAGAGAAGGGGGAAGAAAAAAAAAGAAAGTAAAACCACTGTAAAAAGTAATTCCTCATCCTGCTCAGAAAGAAAGTGGCAGAAAAGAATACTTTATCTGTTGCATTAGAAAAGCCTCAGATTACTTGTGGGTGCCAAGAAACAAACTAGACTTCTAGGAGCAGTCTTTTGAAGCAATTCCTACATTTCCAATGTAGGCATCCTGAGTTACTGAAAATCAAGGAATGATATTAAATAAATCAAGTGTCACTTCAGCATAAACACAAAATACACTGATGCTTCTTGGCCTGGTATGAGGGTCTGTATGGGTGAAAGGGCTAGAATTGGACAACAGCACTAAGCAATCCAGGAGTCATTGATAGATATCTGTCTAGTAATCTGCTTACTGTCAGAGAGTTGATTAGGTCAGCTTTTTTTTTTTGATGCCATAGGAATTTATCAGTGTGGTCCTGCCTCACGGAATGCCATCAAAGAAGGAGATGTGGATCTGGACTACGACTGTCCATTCGTATTTGCAGAAGTGAATGCTGACTGTATGTACTGGAATTATGAGGCCACAACTGGAAAGAAAACATTAATGTTCTCTAAGTCTACTGTAATTGGCCAATTCATCAGCACAAAGGCAGTTGGTAGAGATGATCGTGTGGATGTCACAACTGATTATAAATATGAAGAAGGTAAATAAAAACACTGGTTCTTCTGGTTACATAGCTACTTCATCCCCAAACACATATAAACTTAGGCTAGGAGTCTCTTAAGTGTCAATTTTGGGCAACTATAAAGGTAGGAGCAAAGTTTATACTCAGTTTATTAAGTTCTAAAAGAAAAGGGAAGAGAAGGTAAAGAATAAAAAAATACTGCCTTGCCCTTTCTGATATGGAGTTGCTTTGTGGGACCTAAGTAAAGGAAGTGTAAGTATCCCTGAGCAGAACATTCACTGTTCCACCTACCTGCTGCTAATGTTTACTGACTGCCTCTGCTTTGTGAAAATTAGTCTACAGTCCAGTTATTTGACACCAGAATGAAAGGCCTCTTAAAGAAACCTAAACTAAATCAGCACTTTTAGTCTAGGAAAAGCAACTCTTTCAAAGGGTCAAACCTTGCTGCTACAGTGAGTAAATAGTGTGAAGGTGGGCAAGAGGCTGGGAGGGGACCCAGCCAGGACAGTGGACCCAAACTGACCAAAGGGATAGTCCATGCCAGTGCTCAGCAACAACAGCTCAGCAAGAGGTGGAGGAAATGGGGAGGGAAGAGTGGGGGCCTTTGTGGTTATGGCATTTGTATTCCCAAGCAACCATCCTATGTGTTGAAGCCCTGCTTTCCAGGAAGTGGCTGAACATCTGCCTTCTGTAGCATGGAGTGCATGTGTAGTAGTGAAAATATTATTCTTTTTGCTTTGCTCATGTGCAGTTTTTGCTTTCCCTGTTGAATTGTCATTATCTTGATTTATGAGCCTTCTCGCCTTCCTTTGTTTTCTCCCCATCCTGCAGCAATGGGAAGTGAGAGAGAGACTTGGGTTGATGTTTGGCTGCTGGCCACATCAACCCACCACATAGTGCTATCAGCCTTCCCTTATATCAGGGCCTTTTCTCTATTAGCAAATTAAGAGTACATTTCTAATTATTACAACCATATAGAGGGAGAGAAATGGGAAGAGTGAGCAACTTCGGACTTAAGATTTTGTGTTACCGAAAAGAAAAGCTATTAGAGGGGCAGTGACATTACTAATGGCAGTACCAGAAAATCAAGTGTGGCTGTAGAAAACAGAGGCTCTGTTCATCTGCAAGTACAGATGCGACATTCTGCTGGTTTGTCTCTAGCGTACATAAAATAAGAGATGCATGTTAACCACTAAGAATAAATTTCATGGTTGTCTCTGACAGGCTCTACAAAAGAAAGAGATGTTTTTAAAAAAGCCCGTAAGAAGCTGGGACTTGAGGATAAATTTGATCCTACAGCACCAAAGCCACAGGAAATCGATCAAAAGCCTGACATCTCAGGGAGGTTCAAGGTGGCTGGCCCTTTAGAAGTTGGCAAAGACCTCAGTCTAATTCTGGTTCTTGAAAACTTACAGTCCGATGCTAAGACTGTTCATGTAAATATGACTGCTTGGAGCACTGTGTACACTAGAAGACCAGTTCATGAGATCAGGAAGGACTCCATATCTGCCACTCTGTCTCCCAAGGAAGGTAATTTTTCAAAACACTCTTAATCGTAGCTGTAAAATTATTTTATCAGTAAATGGGCATTAGAAGCTGGTCAAATCCAGGGAAAAAAAATTAACAAAATGTAATCTTAAATTTCTGTGCAGAAAATGGCTGAAAAAAAATCGTTTCATAGAATCATAGAATCGTTAGGGTTGGAAAGGACCTTAAGATCATCTAGTTCCAACCCCCCTGCCGTGGGCAGGGACACCTTACACTAAATCATATCACCCAAGGCCTCGTCCAACCTGGCCTTGAACACTTCCAGGGTTGGAGTCACACTTATAAACATTGAAAAGGCATGTTTCACACCACCATTTCCTTAAGTAGTATTCACATTTTGAAAAACTTACCTAAAAAAGGGAAGAGAAGATGGTGAGTAAACATGAGGTTTCATTTAACAAAGTTTGCATAAAGAAAATAAGGGCAACATAAGAGCATAGAAATCAACTCCAACTAAATGCGTTCTGGTCAATTATGAGGGGCCCTACTGAAAGGTAACAGGACATGGCAAACAGCAGAAACAAGAATCTTATTCATTAGCACATTAGAGAATGGAATTAAAGTGTGAGGAATAGAAACAGCTGAAACAGCCTGCTAAGATCCACAGAAAAGAAACTTTCTATTGAAAAACTGTTGAGGAGTAAAGGACGTCAGATTTTTCTTTAAATTTTTTTTCAGATGCAGTTTGATAACCTTTTGGAAGAAATTTTCTACTTAGATATGAGTATTGTTGAAAGATGACATTAAGTTACTGTTAGGAGCTTGGGATTAATAGATATATATCAGCATCCCTAAAGTGAACTGAAAAATCACAGATTTGGAACTGATAGTATATTGTATTAATATTAGGCTTTGAGTCATTAGTGAGAAGCAGAAATAATATTTCATTTCTTTAATATGTAATTTGATTTCTGAAGTTGGGATCTATCAGCTTCCTCTAAAGTATTAGGAACTGGACTTTCAGTGAAGACAAAGTTTATATGCCTAATGGCACTGACATCATGAAGGCACCTCATAGTATCTTGTACTCACACAGGCTGTGTTAAACCAGTAGCTGAATTTACAGTCAGCAGGGAGGGTTTTCCCCAGATCTGATGGCAGGGACCATTGAAAGAGATTTTTTCCCCTTCTGGAGGTATGCTCTGTTTGCTAGGGTTTGTAGTTAAATCTGTTTGCTACTGCATGAATCTAAGAAATTCACCCTGCCCCCATTTTCTTGCTTACATTTGTGGAGTTTGCATTGGTGATTTGTGATCTTTTCTTTGTTTTTCATTTGCTGTCTACTGCTGGAAAGTACTTTGTGGCTTACAGTGTTACAAGCAGCACAGCTACTCTACTTTTTTTCTGAACTTGATGTTTATTGTACAAATAGTCAATAATGTGCAAATGGCCTGGATTCAGAGACAGAGGAGACCCCTTCCCATCCAATATTCCTTGATTTGAACTACAGCATGGAAACTACCATAAAAACACATTATAACAAAAAGTGACTAGGGAAGACAAAAGAAACGGAAAGATGTCATTCACCTCATCTCAGTGTATCATGAGCAAGTAGAACTGATGAGGCCTGTCAGATAATGTCCTATAACAAATGGAGTGCACTGGTAAACTCCTTAAACTTCAGCTGTCTTATCTTTCCGAGCAACTAGGAGGAAGACAATACAGTCAATCTGGCAGTAGGGAATGGAGGAGGGATAACATTGCACTGAAAAAAAAACACTCAGTCTCCATAGCAAAACAGTAGATTTGCATTAATTGAATTTGGCAGTGATGGCTGAAGGCCCTCCTAGTCCCAGACACATAAAAGAACATACTAATTTCAGGTATGAAACTCTGTGGGCTTATAAAAGTGTGTATGAATTTATTATTTTTTTCTTTTTCTTCCAGAAATACAATTTCCCATTAAGATACTGTATACTGAATATCAACAGCAGTTAACTACAGACAACATGATCCAGGTAACAGCTTTATGTCATGTAGAAGGTGGGATTCAAGTGCTAGTGCAAAGAGACATCACCCTCGACAATCCTGCCATCGACATACAGGTAAATTGCTGTCCCTTTGCTCTAATCGCAGTGTCAGAGAAAGGGGAAAATAAGCTCTTATAAGCACTTTCTTCACCAAAAATATTCTGCTCACATTCTGCCATGGCCCATCATAGCATCTCGTAACACCTCCTCTTCCAATGACTGAGAAGGCTTGGACAGAAAAGAACACTGAGAACCTGGCTTCTCAAGCATTTTATTTGCACAGGTACTTGGTGAAGCACAAGTGAATAAAGAAGTGGATGTGGAAGTGATATTTACCAATCCTATTGATATGGAATTGATGAACTGTGTGCTGCAGGTAGAAGGCAATGACCTGCTCAGAGGAATCCTTGAGATAGAGTAAGTACAAGAAATGCCTTCTTCCTGCTATTAAAGATACATGAGCAAGAATGTAGGCATGGATGACCTGGAAGCGAACAGTGGGATGAGACAGCACTTTCTTCTTGCTAGGAGGCCAGTCAATGTAACATCTCGTGATGAAGTACACAACTTAGCACCATTATATCCAAGCTAGGCTTTGCCTGCATAGTTTGAGGAGTCAAATAATTGCTGTCGTAATTGGACAGAACTTGTTTTCCTGCCTATCTAGCAGGACTCACAGTTTCAGAAAAAAATACATTCTTACTCATGCAGTAAATTTTGCTTTCTATGCTACTATAGGCCAGGTGGGTTGAACCTTCTTGTTCTGACTATAGGGACAATAATAGGATATGTGACTGTTTCTGTCCATACTATACACAAATTATAGCATATATTAACCACGGAGTTTTTTTCCCCTTCACTTTATTAAATGGACTGCAAGTGCCAATCTGGTGTTCAGCCTTCTAAACAATTTATGTTACATCAAACAGATAGACCTACACATATAAAGCAGATGCACAAGTGTATAAAAATGAACACAGATAGCTTCAACACAGGTTGTGATCTCAAAGGGTGGTACCTCTAAAAAGTGCAACCCCAGGTATACTTCATGTGTAGCTTATTCCAGAGAGAATAAATCACAAATATAAGGAGGATAGCTTTTAAAGAACAGACTAAACACAACCAGCAGATATCCCTTAGATGATTGAATTTACCTTACTAAAGTATGGCACTTGAGCACAGCAGAAATCCATAAGGCAAGCAGAAAGAGAATAGGGAAAATGGTGAATATTGCAATTAAGGTTTGGGTTGAGTTTTAATAAAGAAATTAAAAAATTAAAAAATCCAAACCAAGAATTAAACTACAGGCACACTGATTTTCAAGCTCTCCTTTCAGAACTTTACAAAATAATTATGTTAGGTTATTAATAAACAAAGTCAAGAAACTATTAGATGGTGTTGCGATAGTGAATAAGAAGACTGGAATAAAATAGGTTCCTTTTACTATAGATCCCAGGTTCCTATTCTTATGCTTTGAGGATTTAGCATCTTGTTTTTTTTTTCCTTCAGTATTTCACAACTGAAACAGAATTTTTCAGACTGTCCCCCACTTTGTACATATACAAAATTGCACACACATTTTTACATATGCTAGAAAAGGCAGTTATTTTTAAAAAATACCTGGGATGGACTGACTTTTAACTGAATACACACACATATAAACACAAACGCACAAAGCAACTTAACACTGTCATTTGTGCTTGAGCAACTAGCAATGGTCTACCCCATAAACTGTCCTGAGGGAATTTAGCAACCTCATGTTGCCTTACCACATAGAACTTTATCCTCAGGCGAGACAAGACAATATGACAGTGTAAGGCTGCTTGGAAAAACCATAAACATGAGTTTCCAAGAATTATAAAATATACTGGTTTAAAACATCTTAATTTTCATTCAGAATTTCCTGCCATGTAAGCACTGAGGTTTTCTTGAGGCTATAATCTATCCTAATTCAGGAGTCTCTATAACATTCTTAGTAGTGTAAGATTATTTTTTAGTTTTTTTTTAATAATTCAGTGATGTGTTTTACATCCTCTGTTCTGCATGAAGCTTTATCTTATATGATACTAATATGTCCACCTTTGTGTGCTTATCTTGGTCACCACATCATGTATTCATGAGAGACCTTAATGCATGGGTTTGAGTATTTAAATACATATCAAATAACCAAGTCCTGTATGGCCTTTTCACGGTCATCCTACACTGAACTGACAGGAGTTACTTAAGATGGGAGATAGTTAAGAAAGTCAAGATGATGCACAAGCCTGTTTACAGCTTATATTTTTCCTTATTTTTTTTCTCTTTTTCTCCTACTTTTAGTGTACCACCAGTGAAAGCCAGTGAGAAATCCAGTACAAAGCTTAAACTCATCCCTTTTGAGACGGGTCGCAAACATCTACTTGTTAATTTCTCCTGTGATAAATTTGCAGATATCAAGACCTTTAAGATGGTGAATGTGATTGACTAACATGAAGATATACAATTAATGGTGTGTGTATAAATAGAACAAAATGTCACAAGAAATCTTGCATAAGAAAATAATGAGAAAATTAGCAAAACAAAGTCCTTGCTTCCTGTAATAAGGAGTTATGAACATCAGATCACCAAATTTTTACATTGTAATTTTAAATAAACTGAGAAACAGTTCTTCATTTACCATTCTGAGTGTCCATGTTGATAAGAAGAGCATCTTACCTTCTATTCAGAGACTGTTAGTTTGACATTTGTCTGTTTTTCTTTGGAAATAATTTTCTTGTATCTGCAGAAACATTCGTAAACTCATTTTTACACATTCAAAGCCATATACAGTGGACTTTCAAAGCACTGTTTCACCTTACTGCAACCATGATACTAGAAGGCAGCCAGGATACATTCCTGGAAAAAAAGGAAATTTTTCCTTTTTTGGTAAATTACAGTAACCAAATGAAGCGTAGGAAATGTTCAAAAAGAATCTGGGTGGTGCCCAATTTGAGAGCCATTTGACAAACACGGAGATAATGGCTTGGCTCAACACACATGGTATTTTGCACACTGCTATTTTGCACTTGCTGAAAGTCTTCTTTGGGAATCAAAGGGAGGGTAATCTTAAATTTTAACTTGAGAAGAATTAGAAATTCTTCACCATAGCTTGTGCATCAGGAAGTCATCTTTCAGAATTCAGGTTTAGTAAAGCTCACTTAAACCCTTTATGGGAGGACAGCATTTAAGGCCAAAAGCTGGGTTCCAAGAACAAGTGAACTAGGTGCAGCCCAGCGAGTGACTTGGTTTATGGCCAATAATTGTACACCACTTAAGTCAATCTCTGACTGAAAATGATCTCTGTAGATGAACTGAATGGAAAGTCAAGCTAATGCTCTATTGCACTTTGGACTGCTGGACCAGAAAGCCAATAAGATCTTAAAAAGTGCCTGGAGGCAGCATTTGCCCCCAACTCTACCACATGGCACAAAGTACCTGTGACATGCCAGAGGGACTCCTCACTATTACTTAAGCAGCCCCAGTTCAGACTGACTATAGACTTTAGTGTGCCTACTTGGACATACTCACAGAAGGGACTCCACAACATTCGTGGAAGTTATACCAATCTCTTTCTAGTAAAGAGTAGTAATAATGCAAGTGCCTTGTTACCCTGAGGATATGGTAGTGCAATACTTGAACAACAGACAAAAATTATTCAGGAGATGAATGGAATAAAAGAATATATTTTTCTCTGAAAGTTAGCAAGCTGCACTGTAATGTCAAGGGAAAAAGGAGGAATAAAACACTTTGAACCATTTTGGATGATAGGTGGGTGGAACTGAGCTAGGAAAAACATTTGCGACAGTGTTAAGTCATTAGTCACTTAGGAACCATGACCACTGCATTCCAAAGGGATTACAAAAGCAGCTGCTGATGCTTTACTGTGGTGAAGGTGTGGACTGGCAGGTGCCAGTTTGGGATGTAGGCCAGTCCAAGAGAGAGGTTCTGGTGGCTTGGTGAGCACCGCTGTGGGTGTGTCACACAGAGGTAAAGGTGGTGATTGCAGCTAAGACAGAAAAAGTGTTTGGAGATTTAATTACTTATGTGAGTAGCAAGGAAGAAGAAAAGAAATCGTCATATTCCAGTGGGAGCAATGTGTAACATCTGAAGCAATCACTGTAAGTACTGAGCACCTGAACTTAAGAACTGGTCGATGCGGTTTGTCACTAGGACTCTGTGTGAAGATCAGGTAACATCAGAGGCTTGTGGCTCTTATGGTTTCCAAGGAATATGAATTAAGGAAAAGAGAAAAAGACCAACTAAAGTAGCTCTGAACAGCAATCAAATCCATTTGAGGCAGAGTCTGGAACAAGCTTTGACAGCCTGAACATCCCAGAAATTTCCAAGAGGAGGAAGAACCTCTGAATTATAATGTAAGTGGAGACACCAAGTGTGAAAAAGTGGTTTTAGTTTGGTTTTGGTTTTGTTTTTCAGGCTAGGGCTAGCATGAATAAGTACTCTCCTATTCTTTGTGGTATCAAAGAGTGCTCCTCAAAAAGGCGCAAGAAGATTTTTGGTTTTTTGTTTCTTTTTAAATCAACCTTAGAAACAGCTGTTGGAGCTGAATGGCTGCTGCTCTTCCAGTTTGTGGGGGTTTTGTTTAGTTGTTTTTTCTTTCAAACTTGAAATTCAGACTTATTTAAGTCTTTACTGAGTGCTAAAAAATAATCAGTGCAGCTGCATGATCTTAAACAGCTAAATATTCCTTGCCACAACAATGCTACTTTATTATCTGTATCTTAAGCAAGGGTACAGAAATAAGTTCACAGTTGTGAAGCTAGACAGGCTTAGAGTTTGTACTGATTAAAAACTACTCATGCTTAATAGTTTGGGGGTTCTTTTTGAAATAAAACTTCTGCTGAAAGAGTAGTATGGAGCTGACCAGTGTAACAGGTAAACAGACATTTGTTTCTGTTGAGAGTTTATAATTTCACATAAAGCAGGAGGCAGTTGGAGATAATTTGAGACCCAAAAAAACCTTCTAAAACCAACTCACAGCTGCTTAGCAAAACCAGAAGTGACATTAAGCAATCTGGAAGTTAAGTAATCAGGAAATGTTCCTTTTTCCTTCGTATGGCTTTTATGTCCCACCACACTCCCCATTTCCTCATCCTTAAAGATAACTTATTCATGGCACACCTATTATCCTTTGTAGGAAGTTCTTCTTGTCTTGGAATTAATGAGACCGCATTTCCTCTGAGTAAATAATTTGGTATCTCCTCCCGTAATTACACCCACATTGAGTAGGAACATTGGCATTAGGCATACATATATTATAGGAACTAGTTAATCCATTTGACAAGTCTACAGGTATTAATAACAACTAAGTACCTCTCCCTTCTCTCAAATTTCAGCTGACAGCAAAAAAAGATTGCTGGTTGTTGGTCTTTTGGTTTTTTTTATGATTAACGTGACTTGGACATCCTTGAAGAACAAAGTAGAAGTTGTATGCAATTCTCATAAGCTAAGGGAATGGCAGGTGAGTTCTGCATGTCATCTGCTCCCCTTCAGCAGGTACTTTATTCAGGACTGTTTCCAAAAGATACATGCCCTGTAGGTATCTGCTCAGATCTCTTATCTGAAGGATATTTCATAACGTTATTTGTTCTTGTGCTTAATTTTCAATGTTCTATTGTTCTTATAATAGTAAGACCTGTTAGAGAATAATTTTTGAGCTAAGCAGAGGATATTGGGGGGGGGGGGAAGGAGAGAAAAGAAATTCCCATTACTTCAGAAGGAACCATGCAGAACTCCATCTAAACCCTTTATTTTTTAAATGGTATTTCAGAGATGGGTTATGCTTTGTATTAACAAAATTAGCTCCATCCAAATGGAGCTGTGAGCATGGAGTCAACAGATGGGAATTCAAAGATGCACTAAAACTCTACCAAAGAAAAGTGGTAATAACAGTGTATCTGCTTTTTAAAGTTGAAAATGAAGATGACTATTGAACCGGGCAATTGCCAAGCAGAGTTCTCTCTTGTTTAATGATGAAACAAACATTTTGAAATCAATTTTTAAAATGTTGCTTTGCAGGGAAAGCAGCAGCCTACTGCAGTTCATTCTCCCAAGTGCGTCATGTTAAAGATTCTTTTTTTCAGTCCATCAATGCTTGCTCACATTACTTCTTTGCGTGTCTTAGACTACAAAGAAAAAAAATGATTCTTCCTTGAATTTAATTATGGCACTTTTTTTTCCCATAAGTTAAATGTTACTTTGACTTCTTCCTCAAAGATTATGTATAAATTGTAGTTTAATATGCAGCAATATTGTTTCAGATCTGATGTAGTATTTCACTGCAATGCTATATGGTATGAGACAGACTTAGAACTTGTTTGAGGATCCCTACCATAAAAGTGCATGGTGCCATAGGCCTTAATTCAGCCTTTCTAACCCACTTTTTTGTTTTGTTTTGTTTTGTTGTTACTGTTTTCTTTTAAATTCCTTTTAAAATGGTGGTGGTCATGTCCCCCCATTCTGTCCCCTCTCCTTCCAACCTCACTGCATTTACGATAGTAGCATTAATAAAACTGACTTGGAAGAATCTTCATCTCTTCTTTTGTTTTATAGATTTGACACCAACACATATCAGCTGGCAGCCATCAGTAAATGCAAGCGCACACCATACTGACAGATATGCCAACACTGAGTTGACTGTGAGGCGAGGACAAGCCTTCACTATTACTCTGTACTTCAACAGACCAAAGCAGAACGGAGAGAGCCTAGCATTTGTCACTGAAATAGGTAATACTCCCCTAGCTTGATCCATATTCTCACAGAACTGTAATCTTTACCCCTTGTACTTCTCCACTTATACTATTTAGAGATACAATTTTTCCTGATGTATTTTTAATGCTTTCCCCTGGCTAATGTGCTCATTAATATTGAAACTGCACAATGGAATGGAAACCAATTACCCCTTATTTCTGGCAGGACCATCCCCCTCAGAATCTCATCGTACAAAGGCTGTATTTAACCTCTCTGAGGTGGGGGTGAGTGGCTGGAGTGCTGTCCAAGGACCCAGTGAGGCTGGTTATATGAACTTTACAATATCCAGCCCAGCCAATGCTGTCATTGGACGATACAATCTCATCCTCCACGTAACCTCAGGGAACAAGATCTTCTCCAGATTTCTGGGGCAGTTTGTGTTACTCTTCAACCCTTGGTGCCCAGGTAGGTACCAGGGCCCTTGCTCTTGAACACAACTAACCTATTTGCTTTCATATCTGCACACTGAGCTTGCTGCCTCAAGCTGCCTCTCTTTGGGTCACCAGTGGCAGCAATCTCAGCTATCTGTTCAGAGATCTGGTTTTACTACTTTAAAAAGCTATTGCTGCACCTCCCCTCTCCCTTTTATCATAGAGAGATGTGCTATATGGGGTGATATCAGAGACTCTTACTTCAGGACTAGAGCAGATCACTTTTCTGTAGATGAGGGGTGACATACTTTTGTAAATTAATGAACTTCTCAGCAACATCCTTGACTTGCACCTAAATCAAAACAAGACTGTTCTTACAGATGTTAACTGCAAAGACAACAGCTGAACTAACTGTAAGAACTGATAGAGGGCTAATGTGAGGAAGATTGACATTTCCCAGGTCTTTCATCATGGGTTGAAAAGGGATATCTCTTGCTGCTGGTTGGTTGGTTGGTTGGTTTTTTTTTCCTGCAGCCTTAGCATAATACAGAGGAAATGCAAATTCCTAACCACAAATTTTTGCAAACATGCAATCGTCTAGAAACCTAGATTAGCCTTAAAATATACCACGAGTTACAGGAGCTCTTAGACAACCAAGTGACTAAACAGCTTATAAAAGAAATGTAACCACAATCATCCACTGTTTTCTTCCATGACTCTATGTTTGCCAAGGGCCCCTAACAAATATATCAAGAGCCAAGATGAAAAAAGCTGCTACTTAGCTCAGCCTGTCTTAAAGATAGAAATAATTATAGAACTATGCTCAGGAAACTCAGACTGTCTCTGCATAGACAGTCTTTTGGGAAAAACCTTCCCAGAACCCCTTGAAAGATCACTTGTGGTGCAACTTCCATGTAACTTCAGATGGAAACCACACTGCAGGCAAGGACTGAAATATTTGACAGCTCCTGAAAAGCTTGTTCAAAGTACTGGCTCTAGAACATTATAATTGAGAGCATATGAACTTCAGAAAAAAAAATATTCTTCAAGTGATTACTGAAGGACATTTAGATTGCTCAGAATCATAAACTCATGGGGCTAGAAGGATCTTACGAAGTTATCCATGCTCTATTTAGCACTTAGGTAATTCCTGACAGATCTTTAATTCCTTCTTAAGGGTCAGCCATTAGGGAAGCTCCAGTACCTCCCCTGGCAATTCATTCCAATTAAACACTAGCCTTTCCACAAGAATTTTTTCCTACTAACCAACCAAATTTTTTTGCTTTGATGTCAGCATAAAACTTGTCATCCTACATATGATAGACAAGAAGAACAGATTTTCTCCCCTTTCTGCCTCATCCTCTTCACAAGAATTTCTGGAATTGATTACCGTGCCCCATTCCTCATCCCCTTTTTTTTTCTACCTTAATAATTGAGTTAATTTATAAGTTATTTTCTTCATAAGTAGTATTTTCAGGATTACTGAGCATTCTCAGTGCTCTTCTCTTTCCAACTGATTCACACATTGACATGCAGCACCTGCAACTGCACACAGTTCTCCAGGCCTGTGCTGGCTCAAAAGATTGGGAATAAATAATGACATTATTTAAAAAAAAAAACAACAAAGTGTGGACAGCCACCACAAAAACAGACTTTATATAATGTGACATTTTTAAAATAAATTATACAATCTATATATTTGCAGGAAGGGAAGGTAAAAAAATTGACTCACGAAAAGCTGGTTTTAGTATGCATTTCCTGAAATCCTGAAGCTTTTAGAAAATAATTTTTAACATTATGAAACACTGAGCTAAGTAGGCATTGCTACCTAAAGAGTGATCAAAACCTAAATATCTGCTTTCATAGCAGCTACATGTTGTGCCATAGATTAGGGAACCAACGAGTAACAATAAAAATCAAAGTGAGTGGTGAACAGACTATCCTAATAACATTCTCAATAGCACTTTGGATTAAGCAAGGAGACATTTTCATTTAGGAATCTTAGAACAAGACAAACATAACAGGAAAAGAGAGAGAAATGTCATCTGTGTGATTCTTTTCAAATGTCTATGTTAATTATAACTACCCTGAGAAGGCAGATATATCCAGTGAACTAGCCTGGACTTTTCTTCATCTTCCTCACAAAAATACAACATACAGATAGGAGATATTTAGATAACAAAGACTATAATAGAATTAGGGAAAAAGTTACATTCATTTAATGTGGAATCCCTCTTCCCCCCAGCCATATACAATAGCAGGCCTTTTCACTGAGCTGTACATGTTCAGGGAGCTGTAACAATACATTTTCCAAATAGCAGTTTTCCCCCTTGCTAAATCAAGATTCAAATGTTTTTGAAAGGCTGTTAGTATTCTCAGTTTTAAGTGTAAAAGCATGTCCAACTTGGGTTTCAGGTGATGATGTCTACATGGATAATGAAAACGAGAGACAAGAATATGTCCTAAATGAAAATGGAATAATCTTCGTGGGTAATGCAAAGTACATTGAAGCAAGAGGATGGTACTATGGGCAGGTGAGCCATAAGGAATTCATTTAGGCTCCTATTCCATCTCCAATAGCATTTTCTTTTATCATTACTTGCCTCTGTAATTGGCATGCCTATCTATATGGAGACTGAACAAACCTGGCCAGCCTTGCTTATGGTTTGCTCACTGTGTGCCTGACAGGACTTTCATGTGAGTGGTGACTTAACACAGCACTGAAGCTAGGACTGGCTTCTACATGTGCTTGAAGCTCATGGTATAAGCACGGACCTCATCTGGGACCAAAGCACCACAAATGACAACATACCTGTGTGCCTCCAACACACTCACTATTTTTGTAATGCTGTAACAATGGGCTAGAACAGACACTGACATAGAATCATAGAATGATTTGGGTTGGAAAGGACCTTTAAAGATAATTTAGTCTGACCTCTGTGCAATAGGCAGGGACATCTTCAACCAGATCATACTGCTCAAAGCCCCATCCAGCTTGACCTTGAATGTTTCCACGGATGCAACTCAAGAGAATCTAATAACTTCAATGAGAATAAGCTGGGCAGTTTTAGTTTTCCTTTAGTGATTTCTTCTGACGGCAGGAGGCATCCTGTCAGATTTTGGCTTTAAATAGTTAGCTATGTCTTTAGCCAGTATCACACTGCAAATTGCACACTGTGCCTCACTGTCTCTTTCACCTTTGGGCTGGAATATCTTAGAAAGGAAGAATCATAGAATGGTTTGGGTTGGAAAGGACCTTAAGATCATCTAGTTCTGACCCCCCTGCCACTGGCAGGGACACCTCACAGTAGACCATGTCACACAACGCCCTGTCCAACCTGGCCTTGAACACTGCATTTAGCACTTCTTTGGCCAAGAACTGCAGTAGAATTTCCTCTAATTCTCTTTGTAAAAATATTTTCTTTAAAAAATTATCTTATTTGATCACAGTTTCAAGATCATCTTCTGAACATCTGTCTCACCATGCTTGATCTGAGCCTGTACTATCGTCAGGACCCAGCCATTGATGTATCCCGAAGAGGAGATCCTAAATATGTAGGCCGAGTAATCAGTTCTATGGTAAGAAATGGACAACTTAATCTGAATTACACGTTTAAGCAGAAAGCATTAGTTAGACCACCGAAACCCAGTCACCCGCACCTTAAACAACATAATTAACTACATATGGTGCATTACACACAATTGATTTTGTGCATTCTGTCCATTGGCCTATTTTTAGATCAATGGAAACGATAATGATAATGGAGTTCTCCTGGGAAAGTGGCAAGGAAGTTTCCACTCAGATGAGAATCCATCCAGATGGGATGGTAGTGTGGTAATCCTCCAGAAATGGCGTCAGGACAACTACAAGCCTGTTCAGTATGGCCAGTGCTGGGTTTTTGCAGGTGTCATGTGTACAGGTAAGCTTTAAGAAAAGAGCACTGTGGTGAAATGGAGGCATTTCTGACCTCTGGTTTTATCAACACTACAAAGCAATTAATTCTACAAGAGCAACAGTGCTCTGAAGACTGCAAATGCTGAAGAATCGCAAAATATCTAGACACTTAACTTTGTTTCTCAGATATATGCAATCATTAAACTAAAGCTCCGTGTGTGTGTGGTTTGTGTTGCTTGGGAGTTGTTTGTTTGGGTTTTTTTTTGTAGTTTTATTTTTTGTATTATTTTTTAATATATTTCAGTTCTAAGGTGCTTGGGGATTCCTACTCGTTTGGTTTCAAATTTTAACTCTGCCCATGATGTGGACAGAAACCTGAGCATTGATAAGTACTATGACAGCTCTGGAAAGAGTCTTAATATCGGCAAGGATTCCACATGGTAAATATGATTATTTTTTTTTATATCACCAGTAATTAGAGAGAGGATTTAAGGGACTTACAAATATGAACACCAGCAGTACAAAAGCAACTGAGAGGTGCCTGAATAAATTTTTTTTTTAAATTAATACACCCATTTGGAAAGAAAACATTCTTCATGGTTTTGAGATAACAATTCCAACAACTAGCCCAATTTTTTTCAATCTCTGATCTCCAAAAATTGCAATTTTCTTTAAAAGTATGTTTCCATTGACAATATACCTATTGTCAAGGCTCTTTTAATTACTGACACCTAACCGGTCTGTTCATAATAATGCAGCTGTGCACCTTTCATGCTCTGAACTGGTTTACTGCTGTCATAACTACCTCTCATCACCACTATAGATAGATTATTTGGACTTTATCTCACTCAGTATAGTTATTTTGAGTTTCTGTTTAAACAGAGCATTTCCCATATTTGAAGGTAACTAAACCAAATCACTAAGTATATAGAATCATAGAATAGTTAGGGTTAGAAAGGACCTCAAGATCATCTAGTTGCAACCCCCCTGCCATGGGCAGGGACACCTCCCACTAAACCATGTCATCCAAGACTCCATCCAACCTGGCCTTGAACACTGCCAGGGCTGCAGCATTCACAGCTTCCTTGGGCAACCCATTCCAGTGCCTCACGACCCTCACAGAGAAGAATTTCTTCCTTATATTTAACCTAAACTTCCCCTGTTTAAGTTTTAACCTGTTACTCCTTGCTGTATCACTACAGTCCCTAAAGAAGAGTCCTTCGCCAGCATCCCTGTAGGCCCTTCAGATATTGGAAGACTGCTCTGAGGTCTCCACGCAGCCTTCTCTTCTCCAAGCTGAACAGCCCCAACTTTCTCAGCCTGTCTTCATACAGCTCCATATATCCACAACTTAAATCTTTCACTTATAGTTCGTATTGCTCCCAAAGCAAGCTGCAAACATCTATATTCTCTCCTTCCCTGTCCTGAGGTCTACACCTCAAAAGCAGCCAGTAAACCTATCCTTTGAAGGCGGCAGTAAGTCGCTGTAACAAGACAGCTTCTGTCAGACCTTACAGAATTTAAAATAAAAAAATCCTTACTCTTTTCAAACTGGAAATTTGTAGGCCTCTATAGTACTGTGCTTTCTAGACACTGTTCTTTGTCTCCAGGGATTATCATGTCTGGAACGAAAGCTGGTTCATTCGCCCAGACCTGGGAACATCATACAATGGGTGGCAGGTTTTGGATGCGACTCCACAAGAACAAAGTAAAGGTAGCAGGAGAAGTTCTCATCATGACTTAACATTTTGTCTTCAAACTGAGCACGACTAATGAAATTTGAATTTTTTATTTCTTTTCCCCCATGTTTTAGGATTATTTCAGTGTGGTCCTGCATCTGTGAGAGCCATCAAAGAAGGTGATGTAGACTTGGATTATGACACATTATTTGTGTATACGGAGGTGAATGCTGATTGCAACAGATGGATTGTATACAAAGATGGAACTAAGAAAAGAGTTTATTGTGATACTGAAATAATTGGCAGGTTTATCAGCACCAAAGCTGTGGGCAGCAACTCCCGTGTGGATGTCACCTATAGTTACAAATATCCAGAAGGTAAAAGAATTATCACAAGTATCTCCTACTGAATTATTGGTGCTAGGCTAGGATGGGTAACCAGTTTTGTTTGATTATTTCTCCTCTTCCTTCAGAAAATATTCCTGCCCTTGTTTTCAGAGAACTTTCTTAATACAATGGGTATTATATTTCTGGGTTTGTGTATTTAGTAGTGTCCTTATTAAGACACAATACAAAATATAATTTAGTCCCTTACAGAGAAGTATAAAATGTAATATATACACAAAACAGGGCTATAAAATACATTTTACTACCCAAGGCAGACAAACCCTCAAGCTGTCAGACCAAAAAGCCTTAAAGCTGAGTCCATTGTGTATCATGAACCGCAGGTGTGCAGTATGGGAAGTTACAGAACAATAAATACTAGGTTACTGCCATATCTGGCAGATGAAGCAGGGCAACAACCAAGCCACCAACCTAAAATCTTAAACTCCAGTCCTAGACATCCACCTCCCAGTAAACCCCATGCTCAGTCTTTCTCTGCAAGTAACTGTTGATGTGTCTATTCCAATTCCTCATGTTTCCTTCTGAAGACCCCATTACATCCCACTCCCAAAAGAAGCGACCGATCTCCATTTCTGCCTGCATAAATTCACCAAGTTAGGCTCTCTTGTGCTCCTGCTCTGACTTCCAGTCATCACCTTGCCAATCAGTTATGTGTTTGCACTCCTGCTGGACTTGGCCTCCACATTATTGGATTCTGGAAACAAAATACTAGGAGATGGCAAAAGACGAAGTGCCACTCATCTGTACTTCAGAAAAAAATGCAACAAAGTTTAAGAACTGCATAGCCATACGTTTGCAGGAATATTTTTATCTTCCCTCAAAATCTTGTACTTATGTCTTTCCATCTTTTTTTTAAATTCAGGGTTACAGAATTCATATATTAGTCTGCTTAATGTCCGTGGCTCAAAGTCTTAAAAAAATGGAAAAAAAAAGAAGGAAGATATATTTAACATTTTTTAATATTTGCCATCCAGAATCAGTGGCCATATTTCAATACTTCACTCCTCAAGGTTTTAGTGCAACCATATTTAATACAGAGACTGATCATCATCAGATTAGCAAAGTAACGCCACATTACTGTATGTTCTGACCAAAGAAAAAGGAATCCTGCATCCTAAACAAATACAAATGCATTTATTTTATTTTAGTGACTTATTCACCTTAGTACAGTATGTTTATTATTCTCTTGTGAAAAACCTGATCAGAGGCCTAATAAAAGCATGGGGAACTTTTAGGTATTGCAATATTTCTGTGTGATGCAGAACTGACACCATGTATCATTCTGAAAGACTTTCTACAGAGAAGGAGCAATAGCAACAGAAGTATGAATTTTACTTGGTTCTTTCCTTTGACCAGGTTCTCCTGAGGAAAGACGAATTTATAAAAAGGCCTTGGCCAAGATATTTGGGCCAAACATCACAGAAAGACACAGAGAATCTCCAGATGAAAGGCCCTCAGAGAATATTAGAAACCCTGGGATCTCTGGGAAATTCAAGCTGGCTGAACCTCCAGTATTTGGCAAAGACATTACCCTGATCTTAATTCTCAGTAACCTATCTTTTGACCACAAGACCGTGAAGGTGGACATGAATGCGTCAGCCATCCTGTACACAAGGAGAGCAGTGGCAGAGATCCTGAAGGCAACCACTTCTGTGGATCTTGGTTCTAAACAAGGTAACTTTTAATGTCCCTAAGGAGCCAATAGAGCTCTCTTAGCTACATGAAGTTAACTAGAAGGAAGAAACAGCAATATCCGTATCAACCTTGTAATGCATCTGCTTGTTCCATCTCTTAACAGTATTTTTATGAGCACATTTCATAAGACATTTTTTACTCAGAAAACTTTAACTAGTTCAACCAGGAACGGAAGGTCTCTTGAGATGTTATATAGAAGGCTACATTTACATTATAGCTAACATATATATTGTATACAAATAACAAATAGGTTATAAGGATGGAATAGATAAAAATGATTATACCTCTAATTTCAAGAAATACGAAGAGATAAGAATCCAGTGAAATGCAGATGAGTAGATCTCCCTGGTTTCAGGATAAAATCCTCCATTCAAAACTGTAGGGGTCAAATGGATTAAGAAAAGGATCACTAGAACAGGGAAATACACCACCAGTCTCACATGGAAGAAATACAGACTCAGCTCTCTTATATTCTGTTCTCTTCAGTAATTTCAAGACCACCACCACCCTCCCAGTAACAATCTTTTCTTTAGCATTCTTTGAGAACGTAATGATTCCTAAATACATGTCCAAATTCCAGGGAAACATATCCGATTAAAGATCCCTTATTCTTATTATGGAAAATATCTGACTACCGACAAAAGGATCCAAGTTACTGCTTTATGTGAAGTTATCCACATGCATGGGGTAAAGCTGCTGGTGGAGAAGACAATCATTTTAGAGGACACAAACATTATCATTAAGGTAAACAATTCTCTTTCTGATGCCCTGAACAGACAGAAAGAACTAAAGAGTGTTTCTGGAGCTCAGATGTTAAGATGAGAATGTGGGGATAAATGCATTATTTTAGGCTGCAATTTCAGACGTTGCTCTAAAGTTCTGCCTGCTTAAATTGAGAAAGTAAGCATGCAAGTGAGCAATTTCTTTGGCTGAATCTGCTCCCTGTTCTTCTGAACAGCTCTGTTACCTTCTTTCTTTCCCAGTCACATGTTCACAAAACTTGTTTTCATTTCATCTGTATTCTAGTTATTGGCAAGTGCTTGTGTTGCCTTTGAACAACTTTGCCTGCTCACAAAATATAGACTTAAACCCTTAATTCTAATCTATGTTAGGGACAGTTTATATTGTTTTAATGCTTTAACCCTAATCAATGATGTGCGAAAATAAAAAAATAAAAAAATAAAAAAGCCACTTAACAACCCAAACAGCAGACAGGTTTAATGAGATGTGTCCACATAGTCAAGACCATTTACTGAACTAGTGCACAAAATATTGCATACAGCTTGACAGCACTGTTTAGCTAACCCAAGTCCAGCTTCAAGTACTGAGAAAGGAGTACCAGTTGTTAGTTAAATTTCAGAGCTCCTACCAATATCTCATTCAGCCTCAAATATGAGAGATGTTCTGCTTGCAGTCTGACTGAAGCCTGACTCCAAAAAAAGTGTGAAACAGTGAATGATTAGAAATGTGTCTTTGCCATTTAGATTCCTCGGCGGGTTGTAGTGAACAAAGCTGTTTCTCTAGAGATCTCATACGCCAATCCCCTTCCTGAACCTGTGAACCGCTGTGTACTGCTAGTGACTTTGATGAATCAACAGGTCAAGATACAGTAAGTGAAAACTGTAACATTCACTCAGTGCTCTGACCATGACCAACAGCATGTCTAGGTTCCTCAGTCAGAAAAAAAAATAGTTGAATTGTCTTTTTCATATTTTCTATTTATGAAAATAAAAATGCTACCAAATATATATCGAGATACTATGATTCTTCAATCATGTTTTAACTTTTCTAAGTCGGAACTTGTTTAACAACTAAAACTTGCTAGCATTCTTCTTTCATGGACAAGAAAATGGGCATGTCAAAGTCTTTTCCAAATTAGTTGATTCTACGATTCTATATGTCAAATTCTTTTGTTTCTCTTTTTTTTTTCTACAACTTGGCTTTGTGGTTCTATTTTTATATACAGTACCATAGCACTACAAAAATAAGTCTGAGTTAAAGCAAACAAGTAACACACTGCCATAGCTCCCCTTGTTTCAGCCCAAAAAAGAAGTTGCTCTGTTCTCCTTTAAAGTAGGAGAAAAAAAACCTAAGAGCAAAATACTCTACTACTTTTTTCTTTTCTTCTGGACTCTCCTGCTTTCAGATTAATTCAGTGCTGAGCAGCTCATATTTCCTAGGGATTTATTATAAAACAGCCTGACTTGCTGCGACTCTGTAAATATTTGGACATATTCCATAAAAATATACAGAAAACACTATTCCAGTGAAAGACAACCAATTTAGGCCAAGAGGAGACAAAACGAAGAACCCCAGTCATTAGAAAAAATCATATTATTGCCAAAATGGATACAAACCAAGCAGGCATTGGACAGAGTGCTGACCTTTGACATGAGAGTTTTCCTGTTCTCAGTTTGTGTTGACTATCCAAACTCGTACCCAGCCCTAACAAGGCATGACATAGTGCTGCTCATTTCCACCAGGCTATTTAAGAGTAAATGAAGACAGTACTATCTTCTCTCATTTCCTGGTCTTTACAGAGGCTCAAACCCTAAGTAATTCTCAAAACCCAAGGCTGGGAGTCAAGTAACTGTAGGTGCCCCCATTATCATGCACTTCTGCTTCTTGGGAATCTCACGGTATGGCAATGCAAGCCTGAATTAATTGATTTTTCTTTCTTTTTTTTTCTCCAGTCTGGCACCACTGGCACCAAGAGAGAGATCAAAAATTTATTTTGAATTCACACCTCGCAGGACTGGGCCCTTACAGCTGCAAGTAGACTTCTCCTGTGACAAATTTTCACATGTGAAGGGATTTGTAACCATTGCGGTAGCACCTGCATAATGCATTGGAATCAATCTCCTGTTTCAGCATTAACCTGGCAAGACATCTTCCTCTATACAGGGACAGTAATAACAGCAAGGAACTTACCACAAAAGTTGGTGACCTCTTACACTGCAATAGAATCAAGTCTCCTGCTTTCACAGTGCTTAATTCTGTAGTCTCTAATTGTTTGGGGTTTGTTGGCTTTTTTTTGTCTTCTTGTCTAGAAAATTGAAGTCCCTTTCTATAGAAATAGTTTCACTGTTTTATCAAATGTCATTGTGTTAAGCTCCTTGTTTTGACTTTTCCATCAGATTATTAATACAGTCTCTTTTCAAGCACATTCTAATTCTCAGCAATAAATAAATCTACCCCTAGAACTGTATTCTTTTGTAATGAATTGTACATTCCATAGAAATATTATGAGAAATCACAAGATTGAGGATGATGCTTTTCCCTTCATTTCTCAAGCTTCTTACCTAAAGAAGTAGAAAATCTAATTTCTGTATTTTGTGACACCTATGAACTCTCTGAATGGGGAGAAAAAAAGCCTACAAAGACTGGGAAAAGTAATGTTTGGGGTCCATGACAACAATATTTCTGTAACCTGTGGGCATAGGACTGTCCCAGAGCAGACCACACATATACACATTCAAGTAGGTAACTTAATTCCTGTGTAATGTGGCAGAGTCCCAAGCACCATTAAACACAAGGGGAGACCCTTGCATTAATCTGGAAATTCAGCAACAGAAGGTAACTAACACTTTCTGCCCATCAGCGTAAGGTCACTGAAGAGAAGGAACAAATTTGTCTTCAAACCTTCCCAATGTAACTCATTCCCAGGCAGCCCCTCCTCCATACCTCTGGCACAGTGTTTGCATATAGATGCCTCTTTTGCAAGTTCCTGATCCTACATTGCTGGGTACCAGGTTTCACCTGAAACTCACTTTCAAGTAGCCTTAAAGGATTCTCTATTACTGCAGGCAATATAGCTTCTTGAGGGACTGCTAGGAAAGGTAACGACTGACAGGACACAGTAACCACCTGGCCATGTTGCTTAAGTAGAGCGTGAAGCAGTAATGACGTACAAACAGGTCTGCCAAGCCTGAAGATTTAGATTTGATGTCAGATGTATAAAATGTTTAAAGCAGAATATGGCCAAAATTCTGAACCACAGAGATGTCAGAAGTTCGATACGGACAACTTTTGTCAGACAGCTGATATTTCAGTCTGACACATCCAGACACGATCACAAATTCTTAATGAAGATAATGCACGAGAAACCATAATAAAACTTTAGATTCTTCTTTAAAAATAAATTTAAGCTGCAGGTAGTTAATTTGCCCAGGTTGCCATCAATCATGATACAAATTTGTAACAAAACCAAAACAGCACCAGACAGAAAAAAACACAATGTAGAAGTGTAGGGGTGAGGAAAGTAAGCGATCACCCCTTCCTCCTCAGTACAGTCCAGCGAAAGTTGGGAACAGTGCACAGCCTCCTCTCAGGACCAACTGGCAGGGCATGTTTGTAGATAAATCGTGAAACAGGATGAGGGAGGAAAGAGCATGAGCAAGCTTCAAGAGTGGAGAAGAGAGTGTCTGAAACTAGAGTGGGCAGGGCTCACACAGCACACGAGCTCCATAGCCTCCTTCAGGGCTCAGCTCAAGACGTCATGCCAAATAGCTACAGAGAAACTACGTACCTGTGTTATGAACACCAAGCTATAAAGAAAAATTTTTAAGAGCAGAGGCTGCCATGAAATCCTGGTACACAGGTGACTCCATAGTAATAACAATGTCATCTCAGTGGGATGCATTGCTTTTTACTAAGAAAGGCGTATTACAGGTAATCATGTCGGGAACAGATCATCAGAACGTCACACCTGTGTGCTTCCAGGAAAGAATGAATTCTATGCAGTTATGTGAAAGGTCTTCAGTCAGACCTGCCTTTAAAAAAAAAAACCAAAACTGGTTTATGCTATTGCAAACTAATCAGATCACTCTGTGTCCCAAACATCCATGCTCTACGATATGTATATTTGTCTATACCTGCCCTATGTACATACTGTCAAAAACCTAAACCGACATAAACACAACCATCCAAAATTAAGCTGCTTCTGTCTACTTCAGACTTTATTTCCTCATTAGGTCCAATTTGGGATGTTTTCTTCTCTTAGTAATTAAGACATCAGGATGCTGTTTATCATCTTGCCTCAGCCATTCACCAGTCTTAAATAAGCATAATTAGAATCAAGACTGCAATTAAAGCCATCATAAGTAGATGCTCACGTAGGACATTACTACAAAAACAGTAACCACACTGCAACCACAGGTCACACCCAAGTTGTATAAATTCTAAGTTGTACAGTTGAGTCCTAAACCTTTTGTTACTCGTGCTGGTGGAAGAGGATTCAGAATGTTCTTGCACACTTTTGTATCCATAACCTGAACTACGCACAAGTGTAGAGAAGAAGAAAAAAACGTTATGGCAGGTAAGTTAAAAACAGGCAGATTGCTCCAGATATCACTCTTCCAATACAGATGAGTGACATTTGCTGAGGAAACAAGATAAATTACATCTGGCTGTTCTCTTGGCTGTTTGGTTCTTTTTAGGTTAATTGCATTTATGGGTTATTCTACTAGAACTACCAATTTTCCTTTTTTTTTTTTTTTTAGTAATACCAAGAACATTTTTCTTTTTTCCTGTAACACAGAAAAATAGAATAAGAAAGTATTTTTCTACCATATCCATTAACTGGTCTATACAGTGGCTTTTGCAGCCACATACTCAATATTTTTGACTTGTGATTTGGGCAAACTGCCACACAGAAATTCCAGGCTGTAATTCCTCTGTGACATCAAATTGATGTCTGGCCTTAGACAAGTCACTTGATGGCCTCTGGACTCCCAGTTCACCTCCCTGCAGTGTGTCTACAATTAACCTGTGCTATCTATGTATGACATTGCACCTGCTCTGATTCTTACGCTGACTGGAAAGATTTCTAGTTAGAAAGATGCATCATATAACAGACACACGTGGAGTCTATCTAGAAGGTGAAAAATTAATGTAATCTCAAATCCCACCATCTCTATTTCTGTAGTAGAACCATATGGATTTCTTCAGATATGAACTTCATTAAGTGATTGAAGGTGGTGGTAAACCAATCCCATTGGTCTGCAAAGGGTTAACATGCTCTAGTCATGGTAGGAAGTTTTTGTCAAGTGAGATTCCTTTGGAATATCATATTGGGACTCTTCAAGGACTTTAGCAATAGGACAAGGGGTGATGGGTTTAAACTTAAACAGGGGAAGTTCAGGTTAGATATAAGGAAATTCTTTACTCTGAGGGTGGTGAGGCGCTGGCACAGGGTGCCCAAAGAACTGGTAAATGCTCCATCCCTGGCAGTGTTGAAGGCCAGGTTGGACAGAGACTTGGGCAACATGGTCTGTTGTGAGGCAGCCTTGCCCATGGCAGAGGGGGGTGGAATGAGATGATCTTAAGGTCCTTTCCAACCCAAACTATTCTATGATTCTATGATTCTGTACTGGGGAAAGGCGCTTCTCAAACACATGAATTCATAGAGGGTTCTGTATTTTTTCTGCTTTGTTTCTGTTTGTTGTTTTGTTGTTGTCATTGTTTTTTTTAACTGATCAAGGATCAAGAAAGGTTGAAAGCTTTTGTAACAATCTGTGCTTAAGTGTCCCATTTTCAATAGTGGGCAATCTATCATAGAATGGTTAATGTTGGAAAGGACCTTAAAGCTCATCCAGTTCCAACCCCCTGCCACAGGCATGGCCACATTTCACTAGAGCAAGTTGTTCCTTGTCCCATCACTACAGTACCTAATGAAGGTCCCTCTCCAGCGTCATTGTAGCCCCCTTCAGACACTGGAAGCTGCTGTGAGGTCTTCATGCAGCTCTTCTTCTCCAGGCTGAACAGCCCCAGTGTTCTCAGCCTGTCTTCGTATGGGAGGTCCTACAGCCCCTGATCATCCTTGTGGCCTTCTCTGGACTCACTCCAGCAGCTCCATGTCCTTCTTATGCTGGGGATGCCAGAACTGCACACGGTGCTTCAAGTAGGGTCTCAATACTCCAAGTGGGTTTCATCATGATATAATCGATCAATCCCTAGCACTGCCTGAAGATATACCAGACCTAATGCTACCATCTGTCCTCCACTGGTTATCTTTCTCCAACAGAGCATGAAAAAACACCTAGCTTCAAGCAACAAAACTGTAAATAACTGAGATACAAGATATAGAAGAAGATAATGTGCAAGTCCAACAATGACGATACCAGCCTTTTCTTCATCAGCTGTCATACAGCATTTCCAGGATCAGGCATACACTTGCTCATGAGTTTTAATACTTCTTTCTGTACATCTTTAAAGCATTCTGGGAACTAGAGAACTCCCCCAGAAAAACGAGCAGGAACATGGTACAGCAGAACAGCCTCTTCAAACTTTTTACAAAGTCTTATCTAAATACAATAGCTTTTTTGATTTATTTTTTAAATGAAAGATGAATTCTCCGAATGGATGTTTTTTTCTGTCTCCGAAAGTTGCCTGCATGAAAGATACGGCAGCTGTTCCTCCAAGTTGTCATTGCTTATTTTACTAGAGCATGTAAATCCAGCCATATAATAAAATTACATTGCACAAGCTGAAAAGATGTACATGCTTGAAGGAACAATGTTTTAATTAAATTGCCTTGTGTCTTTCTAGCCCTGAAAATAGTAAATGTCAACTGGCAATCCAAACTAAATAAAGCTGCACACCACACCTCTGATTACAGCAGCACAGAAGCAATTTTGAGGAGAGGTCAGGACTTCAATATCACTCTGAACCTCCGAACAACAGTGCAATCTGGGGACAACTTCACCTTTATTGCAAGCACAGGTAATTTCCCCACAACACTCTCATCCAAGTCACTGCAGCTCCAAAACACAAGTGCCTTACAGCTATGTGGTCCATTCCGGAATCATTAAACTTTGTCCTGTATAAATTCAGGATTTGTTGTCCTGTTAGGCTTAGGAGCTCCCATTTTAAAGTTTCATCTGTACCTCAAGGCAAAAGACAGTTAAGGTAACAATTAACAGAAAGGTAGGGGCCATTCTCATTCTGTGATCATTCACTTTGTGATCATTCATTTTATGATCCCCAAACATTTTTACAACTCCCCCTCTCTCAGACCACAGACCACCCACCCCCACTCCTAACTCTCTGCTTCACCTGCTTAAACAGCCCTTGATTAACTTCATGTATTCCCTACTATGAGAACATCTATATGACTCCATTTGTAAACCGTGCCTTCCCCAAAAAAATTCTCCAAAAAATTCTCCGGGCACCTATCAACTCTTAATGAAATGTGTATTACAATGTGTGACCATCCTGCCTGCATATTTTCTTTTCAGGACAACAAGCTCATCTAAAATGATTATGGGTGTGCTCACCTTTACTGGGCTGTGCATCTAAAAGGTTACAGAGATTCTCTGGATCAGAGTGCAGCTAGTTTACGTTGAATAAGCATTTGACCTGACACACCACAATCTCTCGATGTACTCTTCAAAAAAATACAGAATTAAGATCATCACTGACCCCAAGTTTGTCACCTACAGCTGTCATTCAGAATTGCTGTCCCTCTTCCCTCTGGCAGGACCATCTCCAGCAGAATCGCAGCAGACCAAAGCCATATTTAACCTTTCTGAAAAGGGTGCCAGTGGCTGGAGTGCAACCCAAGAGCCCAGTGAGCCTGGCTGCATGAACTTCATAATATGCAGTCCAGCCAATGCTGTCATTGGACGATACAAACTCAAGCTCCACATTGTTTCTGGGAACAAGAGCTCTTCAACACTCCTGGGCCAATTTGTGCTACTCTTCAATCCCTGGTGTCCAAGTATGTTTTGATGTATCATATCGTTCAAATAACTCATTGTGTCTCAGCCAGGAAATCCGGGTGTCATGGTAAAGCATGCAACTGACAGTCACAGCTACAGAAAGATTTTTTTTAATTCAACATCAAGGATTAAGTTTTTGCCCCTTCAGTGCTGCAAAGCATCATAGACCCTATCTTTTGCTTGTAGAGTAAGAAATCAGAGGCAGAAAATATTCCAAATATTTATTCTGTATTTTTCCTCCCCTGATACTTGCATTCAGTTATAAACCAAGTGGTATCTACCAGTAAGACACATACTGAGATTAGTGAAGGGACAGGAGCATAGCCAGTTCCCCTTAAAGGACTTCATGCTTCTATTATTCACTCTGTAAATGATTATGGAGTCCTAAGTGTGAATGCACAGGCAGCCTGACCTGTTTCTGAACTCCCCTTCAAATGAGATTTTCACGTACAGCAAGATAACTTTGCTTTCAGTCAGTATGTCTCATTCTGCTTCTAGATGATGATGTCTATATGGCTAATGAAAAGGAGAGATGGGAGTATGTCCTGAATGAGAGTGGAATCATATTTCAGGGAGTGGAAAAATATATTCAACAAGAAGCTTGGAACTATGGACAGGTAAACAGCATCACCTATTTTAGAATGTTGAAAATAAGAACATTATTAGGCAAATAGGCTCTTGAGAAGGGACAAAAATTATCTTGTAGCATAAGAGTTCAGAATTCCTCTCTCACTTCTGATTTACTTGCAGATATATATCTCATTTATCGACACATTACAGCATCATCAGGATCATCTTCCCTGTCTGGCATGTGCTAATACCAAAATAAAAGAAACAAAGCATAACTTTTGTTTTCTTTTGCCTATTACAGAAAATGGCAAAATTCTACTTGTTTCTTGACCCTTGTAAAGGGCAAGGAAAATTATGACAGTATTAACCTCTAGGTATTGCAAGGCTAGTACATCTAAATATTTACAGAGTTGGTTCAATAATGGGGCAGAAGATACTAAAAGGATATCCCAAATCTACTCAACTGAAGTAACTCAATTTGGGATTTCTGAAAATCCGTTTGGCTTTTTAAGCATAACTGCTACAGTCATAGCTCCAGTCTATATGCAGTCACATTGCCATCCTGCAACTCGCTGGGACAGTCAAAACCATTCCTGAGCACTTCATGATTCACTTTTGCACTAGCAGTTGTACACAGTGCTCCTCCTGATCACTGCGACTACTTTTACAGTAATAAATGAAACAAGGCCAGACCTGCTTTCTGTCTTAGAGGTCACGCAGCATCCTAGCCTGACTGCATCCATGCAGCACAGCACTCTGGCACCCTGGACCCAACACAGTGTCCCAGTGAATCTAATCCACAATAATTATTTCTGTGGATTTCTTTCCATTCAGATCATCTGATGTAAGGTATAGACAGTCCATCAGCTTTTATAACATAAGGGTACCTGTGGGAGCATGACAGGATGTGCGAGAGTGAGAAGCCTGCTGAGCCAGATCTGGAGTGGTCTTTTGTGTTCCACTAGGCCATGTGAATGCTAGCAATGGCCCCAAACCATGCTCAGAAATATGCTGTCCTTCAAATACTATGGAGGCTCAGCAGTGTAATGCTTGTTTTCTTTGTGGCCCTATTTTCTTTAACAGTATAGAAAATTCCTATATTACCAACATCATGCTATTGCACTAGGAGAAAGAAAGTTGGTGGGGAGTTCACTCTTGGGTTGATTTATGAAATTAGCCTTTAATTTATTGATTGTTTTGATTTCAGTTTGAAGAGGATATCCTTGATATCTCTCTGGCTATACTGGATCGAAGCCTGAACCACTGCCAAGATCCAGCTGTTGATGTATCCAACCGAAACAATCCTATCTACGTGAGCAGGGTTGTCAGTGCTATGGTAAAGTGATCAATTAGTTACAGCTGTACAACGCACTTACTAACAAAAACCCCAATACTTTATGGTGAATCCCTTGATGTTTTATTGAAGTAGCTAACTTTTCTGCAAAAAGAAAGAAGAGACAAAATGGAGATATATTTTCAAAACCAATAGAATCAAAAATAATACAATGGTTTGGGGAACTTAAAGCTCATCCAGTTCCATCTCCCTGCCATATGCAAAGAAAGCTGCCACTAGACCAGGCTGCCCCAAGCCCCGTCCAACCTGGCCTTGAACACTGCCAGGGATGGGTCAGCCACAGCTTCTCTGGGTAACCTGGGAACAGATCTTTCACTAATTTGGAAAGCTTGTGTCCATTCTGAAATCATTTGCTAAGTTTTTCAAACACCAAGAGAAGCATGAAATATTTTGGAAAACCAGTGTTGGCATAGCCGCATTTCATGTGTGTATTTAGTATTCTTCACTTAAAGGGTATTTATTAAGGGGGACCTGTATGTATTTCCTTGAACAGTTACATCTTCTCAACACACCCTCACCCTCACAAACATACTGCACAACTACACCACTGAGAAGTTTTCCATTTTATAAAGAATACATGCCTTACTACCACATTCCAACTGTTGCATGTGAGCAGGCAAAATTCTATCTTGGATTCAAATACTATACCCCACCACTCAGCCAATGAGAAAGGTGGCACAAAGAGGGTCATTCCCTCTCTCCCTTCTTCTGTAAATGTTTCAATTCTCTCATGAGAAGGACTCTTTCAGGTTAACAGCAATGATGAAAAAGGAGTAGTGGAAGGGAAATGGAATGGAAAATACTGCTCAGGAACCAACCCCCTGCAGTGGAGTGGAAGTGTGACCATCCTTCGAAAGTGGTACAGGGGGAGATACAAACCTGTCCGGTACGGCCAGTGCTGGGTCTTTGCAGGAGTAATGTGCACAGGTATACATGAAGGGGTGAAAAATACTATCAGAAAGGAAGCGTACTAGAATTTCTGTATCTTTAACTTTCTGATGTTGAAGTTTTGACAGAGAGAGTTAAGAATCTATGCTTTCCATTCATAAAGGGTTATTTTGTTCTATTTTAAACAGCCATAAGTTGTAGTACTGCACCCCAATTTTCTGAATCGCCAAACAAAATGCAAAGCAGTTTGCAGGCTGAAAACAGCAAGGTTTCCTGTTTCAAAGCTAGAGGTCAAATTAAAATCAGTGCTCTTCTATGTCCTCGCAATGCCAGTGTTGTGTCTTACCTACTGATGACAAAAAAACAAATCACATTTTGGAGGACCTATAAAAGGAGCTGCAAGTTGGGAAAAGCATTTCATCTTAGCAGTTTCCATTCAGACCTGCTCTGAGACAAGAGTCACTTTTGGGAAAACACAAAGGAAAAATAATGTAAATGAGTGGTATGTCTCAGACAGGAAGAAGAAAAAGAAGGCGACACAGAAACAAACACAGGGAGAAAATGGGAAAGAGAACAGGATGAAGAATTAAAGATTAAAATAAATGGGTGAATCTAACTCTTCAAAAGAACATGGCAGCTAAGAATGTCATGCGAGTGGAACCGTCTTCTAAGCAATTGTGCACAATGACAGTGACTTCCATCATTATCCAAGAGGGAGGTTTCTGAGGGCTTGTTTCCTCACTGAAAACATATACACTAGACTGCTTTTCCAAAAAAAAAAAGACCAGAAAAATACTTTCTAAATGTCTGTATAATGGATTTACATCATTTTCATGCTATTCTATATTGCAGTTCTGCGATCCTTGGGAATACCTACTCGTGTTATTACAAACTTCAACTCTGCTCATGACAGGAATATAAATCTAAGTGTTGATAAGTACGTTGACATTTCTGGAAAGACCCTGCACTTGACCGAAGACAGTGTGTGGTAAATACAATTATTTCTTTCTCTTAGTATTTATTCCATTATATTCTCCTCTAATTAAAAGATCATGCTTCTGAAAAACCACATGCTCCCAGTGCTATAAAACCCTATAACAAATAATCAGCGGAGTGTTCAGAAATGCAGCATGTGGTCAGTTTCAGCATTACAAAAAATTAGCAGAGGAGATACTTTGTACCACTGCTATTGAACATATAATTTGAAAATATAACTGCTAATTTTGTCTCTACTGTATGAAAGTTTAAATAATAAAAAAAAAAAAACAAATTGAAGTGATTCACCTCTTGCCCAAAACTGGAACCAGCTGGTCTCTCAATTCCCAGAGCAGTGCACTCTCAGAAGCCCCAGTTTTAAACCCAGTTCTGTGCTACATGATGTTAATTGTCTTAAGTCTCTCATGGTTACCATTATGCATCCCTTGCACAGTACTGTGAGGTTACCAAAGTAAAAATGATACATTTAATGCAGCTGAGAAATAAATCCATCCCTTAGGAAGAACATGCCATTTCTTTCTAGACAGAAAATACCAGACTGCACATGAGTTGTACTGCATGCGTGTTTCAGTGACTAAGCACACTATACTATGGGGACCAAATGGCTATATGTGACATGAAGTACAAAGCAACTGTGAAATAAATACCAGCAGATAGCAATGTGCACAGGAGACCTTTGGCTGTAAAGTATGTTGCTCTGGAATGTCCAGAATTCTTCAACACTTGACTCCGCAATGAATTATTTTCCTTGTAACATTTTTCTCATAACATCCCAACATTTCTGAGAGATCTGAACACAAAAAAAATAGCAAAGAAGGCTAGAGAAGGTACTCAAAAAAGGAGTTGGCAGCTGGTCTCTCCACAGAGTTTTCAATCACTCAACAAGGGTTATTTCATGCACTCTACCAGAAATGTACCAAATCTTTCAACACAAAATTAATTGTATGAATTAGAGATTCCTTATTCTACCTCCCTTATAGGAATTTCCATGTTTGGAATGAAAGCTGGTTCATTAGAAGAGATCTTGGCTCTTTTTATGATGGATGGCAGGTTCTGGATGCAACGCCCCAGGAAAGGAGCAAAGGTAACACTGCTGTAAATACAAAAAGCTGTAGATACTGTTACTCCTAAGAACTGGTTCTGAAATTTCAGGATAGCTCTCTTCCGTCTGCTCTCTGTAGATGTAGCATTAATTCAGGTGCAGAAGAAAAGTAATACCCACATCAATCTCCAGTAAATGCTTTTCTGTCAGCCTCTGGATTGCCTACCAGCATGCAGTTCTTTCATTTTATCTTCTGCCTCCAGAAAAGCCAGCCCATCTTAAGTTCACCTATCTCACCCTTGCTTGTCTGAGCTCCTAAGAGATTCATAAAATGACACAGAATAGCTAAGGTAAACCTTCAGAGTTTGTTTACTCCAATCCCCTGCTCAGCACAGGGTCAATTAGTAAAGGTTTCTCAGGACCCTATCCAGTGGGGTTTTGAATATTTCATAGGATGGATATTCTACAAGCTCCCTGGGCAAACTGTTGCAGAGGTTGACCACCCTCACGGTAAAAGTTTTTCCTTTTGTTTAAATGGAATTTCCTGTGTTTCAAGTTCTGCCCACTGCTACTTGTCCTTTCACTGGATATTCCTGAGGAGTCTGATTCTGTCCCCTTTATGCCCTCCCACCAGGTATTTATACACATTGATAAGATTCCACCAGGCCTTCCCTTCAGGAAGAACAGCCCCAGTTATCATCCCTTAATCTTTTTTGTGGCACTCTGAAGGACTTGCTCACATATGTCCGTATCTTTCCTGTACAAGGAGCACAGAACTAGACACAGCGCTCCAGATGTGGTCTCACCAGTGCTGAGTAGAAGGAAAGGATCATGCCCCTTGACCTGTTGGCAATGGCCTTCCGGATGTGGCCCTGGATGTTGTTGGCCTTCCTTGCTGCAAGGGCACACTGCTGGCATTAGACACATTTGCTGGCTTGGACTGGACAGATATAGCTAAAACACCCTTATCTTACTATATCTTACTAAAATCCCTTTTAGTAAGATGCTAAGTAAAGATTTCAGAGCCTATAGTCACAGGGCTGAACCAAACAGTTTACACCAGAAAATAAAATATGCCCCATGACTATACCCTGTACTTTACAGGACTCTCTGGAATGGGTAGGAATATATGATATCCCTGTGGCATCCAACAACATGGCATATATATACAAAGCCACATGAAAGAAACTCCAAACTGTTCTCTGGCTCTGAAACCAAGTGACATAGAATGGCTTTTGTTCACAGCACTAAACTCGCTGTACCAGACCAAAATAACAGCACAGCCTGCGGGGAACAATCCCTGTTCCATTCCCTGAATTCTTCACAGCCACTGTCTGAAAGATATCTCATTGACAAGGGAAGAAATAACCACACTAGGGAGCTTGCTAGCAAGTAAACAGTGTTGACAACCAATAGCCAGCACTTGGGTTCACACTTTGGCTCTAGCTTCATTTACTAACAAAGACACAACTTATTTGATCTAGTTTGATTACCTCCATCAAAAGAATAATTTATTTGGCCATTTAAAACCCATCAAACTCCAGATAAAGTGCTTCACATTCCCCGCTACTGAGTTTACCAAACTTAGTTTCCTGGTTCTTCTCAATGCACACACACAGCATTGATGGCTCGCATCTCGTAAGTCTGACTACACTTCAGACTCGGTGCCATCCTTTCCTTTCACAAAACAGCTTAGCATGCAGCTTTGCAAGCTTTGGAGGGTTAGAACATTTCATACAGTACACATCATAAAAAGTGTTTCCTACACCTTAGTAGCCTTACAACCTCCTCTGTGCTCTTTCCTTTTGATAGAAAATGGAAGTGGAATCTCTGGATATCTGTTTCTACACAGATGTAGAAACGCAGCACTTTATCCAAATGCGTCTTTGGAGTGACTACCTCTCCTTCTTGCCGTCAGCACAAGGATTTGTGTTCTTTTGCAGCAAGCAGTCATTTAACTTCTCCCTCTCTCTAATACAGGCATATATCAGTGTGGTCCTGCCTCCACTAGAGCCATTAAGGAAGGGGACGTGAACCTGGATTATGACAGTTCATTTGTATTTGCAGCAGTGAATGCTGACTGTGTTACCTGGATTCACTATAGCAACAAAAGAAAAGAGAGAATTTATTCCGATACTAGGAAGATTGGAAAATGTATCAGCACCAAAGCAGTGGGCACCAACTCCCGTGTGGATGTCACTGCTAATTACAAATATCCAGAAGGTAAGTTCTTTATTACAGTTGCCTAGCCACTGATGGTCAGAAGTGAAAAGAATTTAGGCCTTCATTGGATTGAGCACTGACTTTTCTTTACTTCTTTCTGACCTTTCTTTACTACTTTCTGACCTTTCTTTACTTCTTCTGGAGCAAAGGAATTGTGAATTTTCAAAGTTGTAGGGCTCACTGTCAGCTGATCAGCTCTTCCAGGCTCATAACTTCTAACAAGTGCCTATGATCAGCCAGCTGAAGCTGACAGGCAGGTTTTACGTTCCATGTACACTCATTTGCTTTTGTATGACAATTATTCAGGTTAGACCTCACTTTCTCTTTGGGTATATTTTTGCCCTCCTCAGCTTTCCTAAACTGTATTTATTGAGAGCAATCATAGCTGCCTTGCACTATATTGAACATTCACGAGACCTCTGACCATGTTATCTTTCAAAGCAGGATCCCGGAAAGAAAGGCAGGTGTATAAAAAGGCACTGAAGCTGCTTGGGGTAAGACGCACTGGGAAAAGAACCAAAATTAAAAGACACAGAAGACAATCTTCAGTAACATGGAGACAAAATATGACACAGCCTGCACAAACCCCCAGTATCTCAGGGAAGCTGATCCTTGATGCATCTCCTGTAATTGGCCAAGACATCCTCCTAACCTTGGCACTCAAGAATTTAATCTCAGATTTCAAGATGGTTAAGGTTAAACTGAGGGCTTCAGCCATTCTCTACACAAGAAAACATAAGGCAGAGATTTTGCAGTTGTCTAGGTCTATCAAACTTGGATCTGAAGAAGGTAATTTTAATTTTATTACAGCTTACAACAAGACATAGCTTTGGTTTGTGGCCAAATCACATAGAAATAATGAATGGCTCAAGAAACGCAGGACCTGCAAACGGCTGGAGGTTAAGGCTATTCAGGGGAAGAGAAACATACGTATTTGCCCTGTCTTAACCATTTGCCTTTGAGCACTGTCAGCAAGGATACTGAGCTGGGTGACCTTTCGTCTGACCCAGCACAGTCATTAGTTCTACATTAAGACGACCTTTCTTGATAAGATAGAACAACTACAAGACGCACACAGGAGACTACTTGGATATCAGCTTCCCATAAGCAAAATCTAAATGCAGATTTAAGGAGGAATCATAAGCATACATCTTTTGCAGCAGAACAGGAACTACCTGCAGATAGTAGCCTTTGCCCTTTTATAGGGCCAGTGCTGAAAAATGAGACATGTAGAAGAGATTAACATAGCTACCCTCTGAAGCTAACACACACACGTTGTAAGCCTTTCCATTGTTCCAGCAGTAGATTAACATTTTTTCCAATGTACTGAGATCCGCTGCACACAGGCTGACGTTAAGGCAGAGGCTGGACAGCTGCTTCAGAAAGGGCATTTAAACCAATCCACCTTCTCACTTCTGCCTTCTTTGCAAGGAAGGGGCATTAAATGCTCAGCTTCAGATAGATGAAAAAAAAACCAAACCCACCAGCAGGGGTTGCCATATATATCCATCCTCCAAACTGTCCAGCTACCAAACCGTATCTGGGAATTTAGTGTTTAGTGAATGTAAGTAAAAGTTACCCATGAGCATCATTCCTGTCTATGGGCTGTCACACCCACAAATGGACAGCCCCAGGGTGATAGCATCCTTGCTCCTTAAAATACAGATAGATTACAGATAGCTGGTACTTAGACACAGGAAAAAGAAGAGAGAGAAACCCTGTTTTTATTTACATTCCAGTGAAAAAGATTTCAATCAAGATCTCCTATTCCCAGTATAAAAATGCTCTGATGGATGACAGGAAGATCCTAGTGACTGCTGTGTGTGAAACCAAACAGGGAGCCTCGCTTCTAGTGGAGAAGGATATTGTACTTCAGCATCCTTTTCTCACCATCAAGGTAAAAGCTAGTCCCCTTTGTGTCCCTGTAGAGATGTGCTGAGAAGAACTAGAATCCTTACTCCATTTACTCCTCATGGAAATGAGTGTGGGAAGTGAAATCATGCCTGAGGGTTATTTGATCTTGTGGCTCTAGTAACAAGCCATATGATACAAGTGAAATGAAATACACTAAAGAAAAGCAAACTATTCCAAGACATAGCTGTGCTATGGCATTCTTGTCAGTGCTTGTTGATAAAAGTTCAGTGTTACAAGGGTTACAAGGTAAGATTATCTCCAGACAGACATTGGGAAACAGAGACACAGAGATTTAGTTCACATCTAGGACTCCACTGTTGTCAGGGAAGTCTAATTATTCTCTTCCAGTTTATTTAGGAATCATGGTTTTTACAAAAGAAATCTACTTAACTGATAATACCTGGGGCTGGGGCTGTAAGGCTTCTTATTACCAATCCTCAAAGAAGTTCTTTTACCTTATCAGGAAAAGGGGCACTTTTCACCTTGTAACATCTTCTCAAATGATGAATAATTAGAACCAGAGGCTATTTTTTTTTCTTTACTACCTTAAGACAGACACGTGACAGATGTTGCACAATGGATAAAAAGCAATATTTAGTCTAACTAGCCTAACTTCTTTTGGACAGCTCAGCACATTTCACATGCTGCATCAGACATGGGATTGAATGCTGTCCGTCTACCGTACTGCAAACAACATACAGGGAGTATGATAATTTCTGGAGTCTTTCAGAGCTCCAGACTACATTAGCTATCCCAAACCACCGTCAGTAGCGTATAGGAAAAGCAAAGTTACTCAGAGGAACAAAATGCTGGATTTTTATAGGACTGATTTCTGAATACCAAGTTTTAGTGAGACTTTGTAAAAAGACTTCTATGCTGTATCATGCAAATAAGAGTCATCTTATATAAGGCAGGCACCCGAATTAAATTTCTTCAATTCAGTGACTAAGTTTCAAGAAGGGTTTATGTTTCTGTTGACTGAAACTTCTGTATAAACATACACTCAACAATGGAGAAATGCAACTGGGGTGATGGACTTTCTCCATTATGTTAATTAACATTAATATTTGTATTCTCATTATGTTCTCAGTCTGGTAAGTATCATACACTGTGTTATACTCAACACCATACACTGACGTAGCTAAAAAGTTAGGACTAGGCTGACTAAATCAGCCAGCCACAATGGGTTCAAACCTGAACTCTGATGCCCAAAAATAAGTACATATATTAATTCTTGGCTCCTTCCTGTCCAGGAGACCCTAGAGAAGGTAAGTAGTTTGCAATGGGAATTAAATGAGAAAAAAAAACATGAGAAAGAAGTGAGACTAATGCCGTGGCTGAGCAGAACATTTCCTCTCTCTAGGTCCTTGGTCCAACAGTGGTACACAAGGCTGTTAATGTGCAGGTCACATTTACCAACCCACTGCCTGAAGTGGTGACAGACTGTGTCCTGAGAGCAGAAGGTAGCGGCCTGCTCAAAGAGCAACTCAGAATCAAGTATGTAAACGCTATACGGCTACTAACTTCTTCACTTTTGTGCGAAATCTGGAATAAAAGTGGGCTTTTTTTAAGAATCAGACAACCTCCTGAGTCTTGTTTGCACCAACCTTGGACAAAATACCACCACATCAGTACTCTCCATATACTACTTGGAGTTCTTTACACCTCCTTTGCCAAACCTTGAATTACAGAATGCTCAGGAAGTAGAGAGACAGCCTGCTTCTAATGACAGCGTGTAACTCAACACTCCTGTAGTTAGTGACTGAATTACTTAAAGGGCAAAAGTTTTAAAACTTTCTTCTTTTTGTGGTTTGCAAAACACTCCTTGAAGGATAAGGGGAAAAATGGTACCTTTTCTTCCTTCAGATATTAAATTACTAAAGAGCCAGGACATACACTGTAATGAAATGTCTTAAAAATGTGTCCACTGCTATCGTACCAATTTACCATATACTTACTGTACAGAAACTGTTCTCCCATCTCCTCCATGGTTATTATTTTTAAAACGTTTTTTAAAGTCTTCAAAATTTTTATGTTGGGGAAGTTTCACAAAGAAATTGTGAGGGGAAAACAAAAACAAGATGGCAAAAGTGGGATAATGATAAAAATCACTAAGGCTTCATTTACGTTGAATACAAAATTCAGGCCTAGATTGTGACCTTGAACCTTAATTTGCCTTTCCATATTGGGTTTGCTCAGCTTCAATACCTCCTTAGAGCATAAAGGCCCTTTTTCCCCACTCTCTGTTTTCTGGTGCTAGTATCACTCTCCTTGTATTGGACAGCCAAGAGCCTTTCAAACCATGGACATAAAATCAACAGGTAATTATATTTACCACACCAAAATACAGCATGAGCATATCTACAGTACTGTAAATGTTGTGAGTGTTCAGGGTAACATACAGCTGGTTTTGAGCCCTTCTAAAGGTAATCCTTCTGATTGTTCCTCAGGTGCTCAATATATTTTGCCCTCATGATACAATTCTTAATCCCCTATCACAGGTTGAGAACTGCAACTATTCCACTACATCCATTCCAGCTTGATTAATTCCTCAAGGATAGTCTTGTGGGGGCTGTGAACATGGAACGTTACATCCACCTGTGCTAGGAGCATGCAAACACAGCAGTCTCTGACTCTTCCCTTCCATACTGTCTTAGATTTGTGGCTCTGAAGAATACATAGTAAGAATTTTTCACATGCTTGAACTTACAACTGTATTCTTTCTTTCAGTGTTGCAAGAATGGACCCCATGGAGAGCTCAACAGTCCAATTTGAAATCATACCCTACAGCAGTGGCATGAGGCAGCTTCAGGTAGACTTGGTTTGCATAGATTTCTCAGACATTAAGGGGTTTGTGATGCTTGATGTGGCTCCTGCTCAGTGATATCACCTGTACATCAGTACAGTTTTGGCTCTGTTTATGAGACTGATGTAGCGTTCATACATTATTCTGACTGGCAGCCCAGAAGCACAGACTACTCAGCCAAAGCACAGACTACTCAGCCAAAGCAAAGTGATGCAATACGAACAGAAATTAAGAAAAAGGTACTAGACATTATACTTGCAAAGGCAATGGCATCTTTTTCATTCCCTAACCTGTTTTATGGTCCTTCATGAATAGAATTCCTAGTGGAAATCATTATGTAATTTAACTTGAAGGATAGGATCAAGTGTGATGGTTTTCAGCATTAGAGCCTGTAGCAATGATAACAGCTAGTTTTTCAAGGAACATCATTTAAAATCACTGTTGTGTAAGCTTCATTGAACACAACTTAATTATAATCACTAAATATGTTTTATTCAATAATAGCCAAAACACTATCCAAATAGCTGACATAATTCAATTCTAGAATTAAATTCATTATTTAATTATTAGGAGAAAAATGCAGCAAAAAGATATGACAGCAGAACTCTCATGGCTGAAAAAATTAGAAGCTATTCAATAAGCAGTACTCTTAGATTCACAGTTGTCCTATTCAGATCATGACTTAATCATGTGATAAACTGTAAATAAATGCTTGGCAGAGATGTGACTGGGAGTAACAGTACAAAAGCAGATAAAAGAAACAAGTCCTTGATTAAGGAGTGGCAAGTACTAGAGTATCTTAAATAGTAATAGGCTGGAATAGCTGTTCCAGAAAACAGAAATTAAGCAGAACATCATTAAACAGTAAAAATGTGACCTGTCATCTGGACTGACACATTTATTCACACACATATCTCGTCACACATGCACCACTGTCTCAAAACGCGCCGAGTTCCTTCTGAATGAACCACAAGAAAGAATGAAGTTTCTCCAAAGATAACTTCATAAATCATTACAACAGCAAATCTGAGTGAAACCAAAGCACATAACTGAACATGAGCTGGCAGTGTGTGCTCGCAGCCCAGAAAACAAACAGTATATGGGGCTGCATCAAAAGGAGTGTGACCAGCAGGTAGAAGGAGGTGATCCTGCCCCTCTACTCTGCTCTTGTGAGACCTCACTTGGAGCACTGTGAACAGTAATGCTGTTCCCAGCATAAGAAGGACATGGAGCTGTTGGAGTGAGTCCAAAGGAGGCCTCAAGGATTATCAGGGGTCTGGAGTGCCTCCTGTATGGAGATGGGCTGAGAAAGTTGGGGCTGATCAGCCTGGAGAGGAAAAGCTGTGTGGAGACCTCAGAGTAGCCTTCCAGTATCTGAAGGGGGCTACAACGATGCTGGGGATGGACTGTTCATTAGGGACTGTAGTGACAGGACAAGGGGTAACGGGTTCAAACTTAAACATGGGAAGTGTAGGTTAGATATAAGAAGTTCTCTACCATGAGGTGGTAAGGCGCTGGCACAAGTTGCCCAAAGAAGTGATAAACGCTCCATCCCTGGCAGTGTTCAAGGCTGGGTTGGACAAAGCCTTGGGTGACATGGTTTAGTGTGTGATGTCCCTGCCCCGTGCAGGGGGATTGGAACTGGATGATCTTGAGGTCCTTTCCAACCTGAGCTATTCCATGATTCTGTCACTGATACACTATAGTTAAGCACCATGCAAATTTTCATTACAAATGAATCTGTCTTACAAATTTACCTTGCCATTACAGCCTCAATTATCACTTACTTTAGTTGGCTCTACCAGGAAAAGAAAGTATTTTGACTCCTGACAAGGGGGAAAAATATATTTACCAAGGAAAACATAACAAAACATGTCTTATAGCCCCTATCCTACAGGTTCGGCCCCAAAACTTGTTCAACTGGCCACATGTCTACAATCACCCTCTTCCACAAAAGCTTATGGATAATAAATTTAAAGTAAATTTACATTTTAATGTAAAATTGTATTTGAATTGATTAAGGAAACAGAGATGTCACAGCAAGTGCACTCAGAGTGCAGGTGCACATACAAAATCTCCTCTGTTCCAGGAGCATAATGTTTTATCCAAGTCTTAAAGGTCCATTTGCTAAAGTCTCCTTCTTCTATCAATCACATACACAGAAGTATCACTCCTACTTTTATCTAAAACAATATCATCTTTAGAGATATATTATTTATGTAGCTGCATGAATATACACAACATTTTTTTAAAAGAAGTGGTAAGGAAAAGTCTTTACCCCAGTTTACTCTTTTGATGAGCTTTAAACAGAAAATATGAAGAACTTCTATTTTAAAAGGTGATTTGATCTTAGGACATGAGAAATGTTAAGAATTCATAGGTAAACAGAACATAGAACTCAAGAAATTATTCTATTTTCATCTAAACTAAGTGCATTTGGTTTCCATGAGTTTAGAAGAACATGACTGCAACTGGTCCTATACAGTAGCAGAGCCAGCAACTGGTCCTATACAGTAATAGAGCCACAAATGTGAAAATAGCTATCAGCAACTCACAAAAAAAAAAGGGGGGGGAAGGGAAGAGAGAGAAGAAAGGGAAAAAAAAAAAAAAAAAGTTAATTTGAAAGAGCTAAATGAGTTTACCGGAGGGGAAAACCTGGTTCCCATTCCCATTGCGCACAGACAGGAAAAAAAAACACAGCTGATGTAATAAGTAAATTTCTCAATACTCTGCTAACTTAGATGCTCAGTTTCGCAAGGCAACTGTGGAAACAGATACCTGTACTGTTCAGTTTACAGAAACTACCTAGACACTTTCTACTATAACTTTTCTAACTTAAGGACAGCTAAAAGCTTTCAGGACTTATTTGTAACTCTGAGACCGAGTGCTATATTTCATTGCATTTTAAATACAAATGATGGGCAAGTTTAAGGTGCCAATTTGGAAGATACATTGCAAGAAAAACTGACTGAGCTATCATAGTGTCCCACAGCAAAGGATCCGAAACTGTATCCTCTTCGTAAGGAACAGCTGCAGTCACCTAGGAGTATTTACAAAAAGTTTGCTAAGCCTAAATACAAGCAGTTTCCCAAGGAGAGAATTAATGTGTGTGGGGACGCACCCTACAACACTCTCTGGCTTTGCAATCTCATCCCCTACTAGTCTGAATCTATTCTAGAGCTAATAGGCAGTAGTAGTGATCAGAAACCATAACCAACACAGGCAATCAGTCAATGCACTGGTCCAAATTATTTTTGCATTATGCATATTAATAAAATGGGAGTGGGGGCTGGAGGAAAGCTTGGGTGACTTTTCTCTTGGTCAGAAACTTCTTACTGTACTACCAGGAGCATCGCTCAAACTTGTCCACAAGACCACATGAGAAAAAGCAGCCTATGACACGTATTTTTGTTTTGCACTGGCACTACCACCAAGGCTGACACTCGCCCGCACCTGCTGCCACACACTTCACCCAGCCCTTCATACGTATCCTAGAAAGTCATTGAGTCTGTCCTCCTAACTTATGCCACAAGAAGTTCCACCAGTTTCCTTTCATGCAGGTATCATAAAGCAGACAGAAAAAAAAGATTTTTCTGTTTGCAGAGGGAGATACTTTGCAAAGTGCTCAGAAAGCACAGGATTGGAATAAAAGGCTCAAGACCATATAATCAGAAGGATATATGAAAATTCACAGTTAACAGTTACACATCCTCGTTCTACAAAGCTACTTAAAGTCGATCATCATCTTCCATGAGGAAGGCACCATGCCACCCATGTCTAACTCCCAGCGCTGTGTTTATTTTTTCCTTGAAGAGTTAACAAGCCAAAATGGCAAAGATTTGAATGCTCCTAAGAGATAATTTGACCTTTTCCTCCTGACAGTGCCTAGTACTGTCCAGCAATGGAGTCCAAACTTCCCCCAGAAAGAATGTTTCACGGACACAAACTGACTTTGCAACACAGACTGAACTGAGGTCTCATTTAAATGGCTTTGATTTAAAGCCAACAAATTTTTCAGAACATATGAACTCCTACTTTATTACACCTACTACAATATTTTGCCACCAACTCATGTATTTACAAGGGACGCAGGAGCTTGTCAAAACTAGTCTGCCCAGAAGACTGGAATGAAGATTGAAAAGGACACACACACACAGAGGAATTCAGATTTCTCCAGGCAAAGGAGAAGGGAATAGGTAGCTTTGCACCCATCAATTAAGTCTTGCAGCATCTTGCAAAGTCAGGGTATGCAGTCCTGCACTAACCTCAAAAACGGCCTTGAGGTAGTGATGGTATTTCAAAAAAAAACCTCATTAAATCTTGCAAGAATGCAGACTGCCATTATATTTAACACGCAGTACAGCCAAGTCATTCAAATTCTTTCAGTATTTCTTCGTAAATATAATCCAGGAAATTATTTCAGACAGTGTTTGTCACATAAGCTTGGAATGACCTCATCCTAATTAACTCTTTGTAAAGGAAGCTTGCTGTTCAAAGGAAAATAAACCCTAAAGCTTGTGCCAAGTTCCAAGCTTTGCAGCATTGTGAGTACTGGGGTTTCAGGCTGTCAGCATTATTAACTGACCTCAGCAAGCACACTCAGTTCAGTTTCAGTGTTAAAATGCAGATCTGGCCAGTGCCATGTAAAAGAAATACACATTCTTCCTGTGTTGGACATAAGAGAACTATTCAATTAAACTCATTGTTAGTACAGAGAAAAATGCGTAAGTGCCCAAGTCAGGATTTAAATAGCTTTTGCCAAACCTATAATCTTCGTTTAGCCCGTAGTCAAAACTCAGTGGGTGCTGGTGGAGTAAAATACAGTTAATTATCAGCATTTTTCTTTATAAATACACAGTTTAAATCTTAGCATGTCCAAGAGGTTGACGCAGCTCACATTCCATTCAGATCACTCAAAAAAATCAAGAGCACTGGCAGACATGACACATTCATACTACGAATTGGCTTGAAAGATATTAAAACCAGTCCCAGGATGGTGAATGGTTCTCCCCACCATTCTGTTCTCCTGATCTGAGCATCAAGAGCCTTGATTCGGCCAGTCAATTAAAATACTACTC